TCATTGAATGTACAGTAGTTTTCTCTGTACTTCTCAAGAAACCTAAATGCATTATGATTGCCAAAGTCTTCAAACTGGACTAAACAGCTTTTGCCATACCTGCAATAAACAAATCATGATAAGAGCACAACTAGTAATATTAATACACAGTTTGAATAAGCTTTTCAAAAAGAGTTTTCTGTGTGTAAAACTTACTAATTTTTTACATTGTGATACATATAATAAGCAATGTAACTACTTACGGACTTAATCATTTACAGGAGTTTAAGCGAATAGATCACTTTAAAAATGGCGATAACCCTTAAAATTCTTTTAGAAATTATTTAAACTGAGTTAGCACCCCTTGAAAAAAAGTTATATCAGGTGACTATTTTAAATTATCATATAAATTTAGAATGATAATTTTTAATTTGACACCAACATGTCATAAATTTTACATTAACTAACATATAAAGCTAACCATTATTTTAAAAAAAAACTGACTGACCTGTTGTCATAGAATAAAAACTAAATCTGTATATGAACTAAGAACTTAAACACATTAAAATGCTAATTTTATGCAAGTAGGTCAGCTCAATTTACTTTTCACAACCAATGATGGAGTTATTTGATAAGTGTATAGAATGTATCACTTTAAAAACAGCTGCCCAGACTGTTTTTAAATCAGTCTGTTATGCTTTTGATGGTAGTGTTTATAATGTGCAAAACCTTTACCAGGCTACATATATCACTCTCTTTTTATCCAATTATAATACAGCTCACTGTGTTAAGAGAAACCTTGAACAAAAGGAGACTCTGTTGACATCAGACAATGACCACAGATGTTTAAATTAAATGTCTGAAAGGCCAACAGCTTAACCTTTTGATTACGGGACAAACCTTTTAACAACAGCTTGCATAAATTCATCAATAAGTTGATCATACATGGGTCCTGTCTCTCGCTTCTGTCTAAGACCAATATATAACGGATCATTTAGCAGATCCTGAAAATGTTTAATGACACAAGTTAATTTTTAAAAACAAAAAAAGCTTTTCATAACAAATAACTAATGTTATAAGAATAACACTCTTAAATCAATAAAATGTTTGAATTAATTTTTTAAATTAAAACTTAGATATACTTGAAGTTTTATCAAGGATAGACTTATAGTTTAAAAGAAATATCTTCACTCAAAAAAGGTCAAATGTTAAGTCAGAGGTGTAGCGAGGGGGGGAGGCGGGGGTGCGGACAGCACCGGGCGACACCATTTTAGGGGGGGTGACACCATTTCAAGGGGGTGACACCAAGGCAAAAATATCAAAATATATAGAAAAAAACTTGAAGGGGGAGGGGGTGTGCAAATCGAAAATGTGTCCCAGGGAAGGGTCGCTACGCCTCTGGGGGGGGGAGGGTGTGTGTGTGTGTGTGTGTGTGACACCATCAAGTGCCGCACCGGGTGACACCCGACCTTGCTACGCCACTGCGTTAAGTTACAATATCTGACAACAAACAAATGGATTGGTCTAAGAATAGAATGATGTTAAGCAAAGCCCATTACTGTGTTATTGGTGCCGACATCAATAGTGATTGGTAGACAGTGCTGGGGTTTTATGCCAGCACAGGCAGTGTAGAGAGACAACTTGCCTACAGGGATCCCCATGCCGTACGCCCCCAGGTCACCAAGGCCCAGGATCCTCTCTCCATCTGTTACCACAATAGCCTGGAACAAGTGGACACTAAATAGTTTCTACTGCTAAACAACCCTAGTCAAACTTATACATTTCAATAGACATTAAAATATTCTACAATGGCTGCTAGATTTATTGAAAATTGAAAGAGTTGATACAGCACAGAAAATAATGCTTTGATATCTTTAAATATTTTAATCCCAAAGTAGAAAATAAGATCTATATAAAAACTGTTTGCAATAAATAGATTTAGATTATGTGTATATAAACTAAGAAAACTAACTTACTTTCACATCATCTATTGGCCAGTTACACAGTATATCATAGACATGGCCCAGATCATGAATTGTGATATACAAGCCTCTGAAAGAAAAAGAATATCAAATATCAAATTAATGTATTGTGCTGAATAAACTTAGGAAATAATGAAGCTGTGGTTAGAGTATAGAGAGATTATTCCCTAGTGTTTATGTTATGGTTTAGTGAGGTTGTTGTAGCCTGACAGTGCTTAAAATTGAGTTTGTTGATGTTCTAGAGAACTTATGATTAAGTAGGGGGCTAAGCTTGCTGATGCTAAATAAAGCTACAGAGCTTAAGATTAAATGAGATTGTTAATGACCCGCAGAAGTTATGTTTAGGTGATTTTGTTGATGCCAGAAATAGCTCATGATTAAGAGAAGTTATTGCCACCCACAGTTTTTGGCTCCTATTGTCTTATGACCTCACACCGGAAAGAAATGCTAACCTACACGATCTGACACCTACAGACACAAACGACCACAAGTGCATTCCCCTAGAGTGCATTCACAACCCAACGGTGGGGATTAAATCGTGTAGGACGCCCTTAAGGGTGTTCCCATCGGTCACCAGTGTTTAAACACACACACAGGTAGAATCTGATACTTAGCACGCTAATTCATCCACTGGCTACCGTGACAGGTTACAATCTTCCTGCCAAAAGCATTAGAGATACGACATCTGGTTCATTTAACGGGCGATTAACGAGCTGGGATTAAAGAGGCGAACGTTTTAACTGGACAAGTACACTTAGAGACATTTTTATCGATGTTTTATTCATAGAGGACCTAGGCAGCCTATAAAAAATTATAATTAGTTCGGTTCTTTAGGTCGTGACTTAAAGTTTTTTATTGGCTGCAGTTGTGTTGGGCTTGTGTAGGCGGTTGTGTTTTGTCTATGTGTGTAAGAAGGGGAGTGGTCTATAAAAAGACGTAATGCTTGAGTAAGTTCTGTTTTGCACAAAGAAAGAGAAAAAAAACCCCACAAAGACGACGACTCAAGGTGATGAAGTATTAAAAGCCATCGAGCTAGACGCCGCACTGAGACAGTCAGTAGCCTACGTGCTAACTGCTGTGTGACTTATCGATAGCTCGTACTGGAGCTGGGGTAGAGTGGTGGGGTATTATCGTACTGGTGGGGTTGTATCATAGGCCTACACCATTGTACTGGTGCTAGGGTATAGTGGTGGGGTTGTATCATAGGCCTACACCATTGTGCTGGTGCTAGGGTAGTGGTGGGGTTGTATCATAGGCCTACACCATTGTGCTAGTGCTAGGGTAGTGGTGGGGTTGTATCATAGGCCTACACCATTGTAATGGTGCTAGGGTACAGTGGTGGGGTTGTATCATAGGCCTACACCATTGTGCTAGTGTTAAGGTAGAATGATGGAGTTGTATAATAGGCCTGCACATAGGTTACCAATATAAAGTGCTTACAAAGATGAAATTGTAAACGTTACGCTACTGACAGCTGGTCATTTCTATGAAGAGATACAATTATTGGAGTCAAATACAATGTTCGTTGAAAAGGATTTTTTTAACGTGATTAATTACATGCTACAGTGAGGTGTCAGTAAAGACGTTTTTAGAGATTGGGAAACTAACTGGATGAGAAGCTTTAGTGGAGAGCGAGAGACAGACTAGATGTATAACTATACTGTAGGGCGAGGACGTGATGCCACGGGTGACGAAAATCAATGAAGCGAGCACAACAATCAGCTGAGTTTTGCTGAGTCGACACTTTAAAATGTTGCCTTAATGTCAGTGACCTTTTAAAACAAACACTACTTTAAGGCAAGATTATAAAATAATACAATGTCGCTTTAGTATCCAAGACTTAATAAAATGTCACTTCACTACTGCACCTTAATTGGATACAACTTAATCAGTTCACCAAAACAACAACTGCTATCCGCGCGGTCAATTAGTTTCCATTGTTTTGTTAAAGCTAATGTAAATTGGTTTGATGGAAGAAGGCAGTGGCGTCGTTAGATGTACCCTGGCCCACACATGCCTTTTTATAGCAGAGCCCTGATGTCACCCAAGTGTACGGGCTGTGAGGGACTAGACCGTCATCGTCAGCGAAGTTGACAAAGTAGGCCTTGTCTTTCCTTCTTGTAAAACTCATAGTCTAGATTTCTTCAGACAATTACAACTCCTTAGTCTTTCCAAAACGACATGAGCGTAATGTGCAGATTATTTTTTAACGTCTTTTTACTATTTTAAAATAAAACTAGCAGACGTGTGATGCAATAAAACTAGCAGACGTGTGATGCAATAAAACTAGCAGACGTGTGATGCAATCAGCCAATAAAACCGCAGCCCAGACTTTGTTAACGACAACTTGATTAAGACCACGGCTTGACAGGCTCGCATACCTAACCGGCAGTTTCTTTCAGCCCCCCCCCCTTTCCCCCCAAGAAAAAAGCCTGGAAGAAACACTGCTAACCGGTATGACGTAATACAGGGGTCTCCAAACTACGGCCCGCGGGCCGGATGCGGCCCGCGAGGTCCTCTCATCCGGCCCGCGGAGATCTTTTTGTCCACGGAAAAAACGTTTGTTGGTGATGGCTGAGGAACTTTGCCCAGAAAAATCAAAGACATGCCCGGAAGAAACTGGCCCCCGAACTGAAATTTGATAATTAATGCGGCTTTCGGACTGAAAAGTTTGGAGACCCCTGACGTAATATACCAGTCTAGCATTTCACCCGTGTTTTACCGACGTGATCCGACAGACCCGTGTTTTACCGACGTGATCCGACAGACCCCTGTTTTACCGACGTGATCCGACAGACCCGTGTTTTACCGCCGTGACCCGACAGACCCGTCTTTTACCGCCGTGATCCAACAGACCCGTGTTTTACCGACGTGATCCGACAGACCCGTGTTTTACCGACGTGATTCATCCGACAGACCCGTGTTTTACCGCCGTGAGCCAACAGACCCGTGTTTTACCTACGTGATCCGACAGACCCGTGTTTTACCGACGTGATCCGACAGACCCGTGTTTTACCGACGTGATCCGACAGACCCGTGTTTTACCGCCGTAAACCGACAGACCCGTGTTTTACCTACGTGATCCGACAGACCCGTGTTTTACCGACGTGATCCAACAGACCCGTGTTTTACCTACGTGATCCGACAGACCCGTGTTTTACCGACGTGATCCGACAGATCCGTGTTTTACCGCCGTGACCCGACAGACCCGTGTTTTACCGCCGTGACCCGACAGACCCGTGTTTTACCGCCGTGATCCGACAGACCCGTGTTTTACCGACGTGATCCAACAGACCCGTGTTTTATCTACGTGATTCATCCGACAGACCCGTGTTTTACCGCCGTGAGCCAACAGACCCGTGTTTTACCTACGTGATCCGACAGACCCGTGTTTTACCGACGTGATCCGACAGACCCGTGTTTTACCGACGTGATCCGACAGACTCGTGTTTTACCGCCGTAAACCGACAGACCCGTGTTTTACCGACGTGATCCGACAGACCCGTGTTTTACCGACGTGATCCAACAGACCCGTGTTTTACCGACGTGATCCGACAGATCCGTGTTTTACAGCCGTGATCCGACAGACCCGTGTTTTACCGCTGTGATCCGACAGACCCGTGTTTTACCGACGTGATCCGACAGACCCGTGTTTTACCGCCATGAGCCAACAGACCCGTGTTTTACCGCCGTGATCCAACAGACCCGTGTTTTACCGACGTGATCCGACAGACCCGTGTTTTACCTACGTGATCCAACAGACCCGTGTTTTACCGCCGTGATCCAACAGACCCGTGTTTTACCGCCGTAATCCAACAGACCCGTGTTTTACCGACGTGATCCGACAGACCCGTGTTTTACCCCCGTGAGCCAACAGACCCGTGTTTTACCGCCGTGATCCAACAGACCCGTGTTTTACCGCCGTAAATCGACAGAGCCGTGTTTTACCGCCGTAAATCGACAGAGCCGTGTTTTACCGCCGTAAACCGATAGAGCCGTGTTTTACCGCCGTAAACCGACAGAGCCGTGTTTTACCGCCGTAAACCGACAGAGCCGTGTTTTACCGCCGTAAACCGACAGACCCGTGTTTTACCGCCGTGATCCAACAGACCCGTGTTTTACCGACGTCATTCATCCGACAGACCCGTGTTTTACCGCCGTGAGCCAACAGACCCGTGTTTTACCTACGTGATCCGACAGACCCGTGTTTTACCGACGTGATCCGACAGATCCGTGTTTTACCGCCGTGACCCGACAGACCCGTGTTTTACCGCCGTGACCCGACAGACCCGTGTTTTACCGCCGTGATCCGACAGACCCGTGTTTTACCGACGTGATTCATCCGACAGACCCGTGTTTTACCGACGCGATTCATCCGACAGACCCGTGTTTTACCGCCGTGAGCCAACAGACCCGTGTTTTACCTACGTGATCCGACAGACCCGTGTTTTACCGACGTGATCCGACAGACCCGTGTTTTACCGCCGTGATCCAACAGACCCGTGTTTTACCGACGTGATCCGACAGACCCGTGTTTTACCGACGTGATCCGACAGACCCGTGTTTTACCTACGTGATCCAACAGACCCGTGTTTTACCGCCGTGATCCAACAGACCCGTGTTTTACCGCCGTGATCCGACAGACCCGTGTTTTACCCCCGTGATCCAACAGACCCGTGTTTTACCGCCGTGATCCAACAGATCCATGTTTTATCTACGTGATCCAACAGACCCGTGTTTTACCGACATGATCCAATAGACCCGTGTTTTACCGACGTGATCCGACAGACCCGTGTTTTACCGCCGTGATCCGACAGACCCGTGTTTTACCGCCGTGATCCAACAGACCCGTGTTTTACCGACATGATCCAACAGACCCGTGTTTTACCGACATGATCCAACAGACCCGTGTTTTACCGACGTGATCCGACAGACCCGTGTTTTACCGCCGTGATCCAACAGACCCGTGTTTTACCGACATGATCCAACAGACCCGTGTTTTACCGACATGATCCAACAGACCCGTGTTTTACCGACATGATCCAACAGACCCGTGTTTTACCTACAGACCGGTTTTACCGGGTATGTTCCAGACAAGTCTTCCAGACAGTCAGCACCCGGACCACGATGACAGTCACAACGAGGACAGTCAACACCAGGACAATGGGGTTAAAGTTCACCAACACACACTCGGTGTACAAATGACAGAGCTGTTTCTGTGTGTGGACAAATGTAGCGGCTCCCACCTCAACACAGCCTAGCATGGATGTTTTCAAATATTTTAACAGTGGTTGAACGGCGTCGTTACACACCACAACGTCTGAATCTCCGGACATCACACATCGTGCCTACCAACACCCCCCCCCCCCCCCCATCCACCCACACACTCTTAGATGCGCGTTTGATAAATAATCGATCACCGACATATTTAATGTTTAAATATTTTTCCCACTGATAAATAGGGGGAAGTTGTTGAAATATATTATGTTGTGTCAAGTTAACGAGGACGTAAAACTTAACTCTCCCCCCCCCCCTTCCCAGATGCCGGGGAACGCATAAATTTTTCGAGAAATAGGAATCTGATCGACCGTGTTCTTAACACTGGCTCTGGCCAATAACTGTTTAATCATGTTAATGACTGACAGTCTGCACCGGAACTTGTCATTTGTCACGTGATCTCTCTGTCAGTAGCAGTTGGTCATTCCACATGTCCTATGGAACCCGACTCTATATCGTTTTCTTGTTACATGATTTAAAATCTGACAAACTTAATCAGTGATTTCCACCACCCTCTCAAACTGTCATAGCACCATCGCTAGGCCTACCAGCCACCCCGTTACGTAAACCTAACCATAGCACCGCCGCTAGCCCTACCATCCACACCGTTAAGTAAACCTAACCATAGCACCACCGCTAGCCCTACCATCCACACCGTTAAGTAAACCTAACCATAGCACCATCGCTAGGCCTACCAGCCACCCCGTTACGTAAACCTAACCATAGCACCGCCGCTAGCCCTACCATCCACACCGTTAAGTAAACCTAACCATAGCACCACCGCTAGCCCTACCATCCACACCGTTAAGTAAACCTAACCATAGCACCATCGCTAGGCCTACCATCCACACCGTTAAGTAAACCTAACCATAGCACCACCGCTAGCCCTACCATCCACACCGTTAAGTAAACCTAACCATAGCACCATCGCTAGGCCTACCATCCACACCGTTAAGTAAACCTAACCATAGCACCATCGCTAGGCCTACCATCCACACCGTTAAGTAAACCTAACCATAGCACCACCGCTAGCCCTACCATCCACACCGTTAAGTAAACCTAACCATAGCACCATCGCTAGGCCTACCATCCACACCGTTAAGTAAACCTAACCATAGCACCACCGCTAGCCCTACCATCCACACCGTTAAGTAAACCTAACCATAGCACCATCGCTAGGCCTACCATCCACACCGTTAAGTAAACCTAACCATAGCACCATCGCTAGGCCTACCATCCACACCGTTAAGTAAACCTAACCATAGCACCATCGCTAGGCCTACCATCCACACCGTTAAGTAAACCTAACCATAGCACCATCGCTAGGCCTACCATCCACACCGTTACGTAAACCTAACCATAACACCACCGCTAGACCTACCATCCACACCGTTAAGTAAACCTAACCATAGCACCATCGCTAGGCCTACCATCCACACCGTTACGTAAACCTAACCATAACACCACCGCTAGCCCTACCATCCACACCGTTAAGTAAACCTAACCATAGCACCATCGCTAGGCCTACCATCCACACCGTTAAGTAAACCTAACCATAACACCACCGCTAGACCTACCATCCACACCGTTAAGTAAACCTAACCATAACACCACCGCTAGACCTACCATCCACACCGTTAAGTAAACCTAACCATAGCACCATCGCTAGGCCTACCATCCACACCGTTAAGTAAACCTAACCATAGCACCATCGCTAGGCCTACCATCCACACCGTTAAGTAAACCTAACCATAGCACCATCGCTAGTCTTACCACCTACCCCGTTACGTAAACCTACCCACCATCCAGTTTTAGTACAAGCTATACTGGGCCATAGCATTGGATCTCCTAAGCAAATATCAGTCTTCCTCATCAATTACTACCTAGGGCTAGTGATGTAATGAAAGACTACTGTAAACAACTAACTCTTGTCAGAAAGATTGAATGAACGCTGGTGTTCTTCTATAACCTTACATCATCATCTCTCCCACTGCCACTCTTACGCAACAAACCATACGGCATTTCCAGCAGATCAATAAGACGAGTTTCTACTTTGTTGTCACTGAGGGCGTTACTACAGAGGGTGTTGACTACAGAGGGTGTTTGCTACACAGAGGGTGTTGACTACAGAGGGTGTTGACTACAAAGGGCGTTGACTACGGAGGGTGTTACTACTACTACATAGGGTGTTGACTACGGAGGTAGTTTGCTACACAGAGGGTGTTGACCACAGAGGGTGTTGACTGAGCTGTAGATGAATTGAGTAGCAGTAGGTAAACAGATAACCAATTCAGAGGATTATTGTTAAAATATTCCAGAGCGTCATTTACCCTATCCAGACACTACAACGAGCAGGTTACCTCATCCCTTACCCCCACAAGTAAGAGATTACCTCACCCCTTACACTTAGTAGGAGTTATCTCATCCCTTACCCGCACAAGTAAGAGATTACCTCACCCCTTACCCGCACAAGTAAGAGATTGCCTCATCCTTACCCCCACAAGCACGAGATTACCTCACCCTGGCCCCCACAAGTAAGAGATTGCCTCACCCTTACCCCCACAAGTAAGAGATTACCCCACCCTTACCCCCACAAGAAATACCTCACCCCTTACCCCCACAAGTAAGAGATTGCCTCATCCTTACCCCCACAAGCACGAGATTACCTCACCCTGGCCCCCACAAGTAAGAGATTGCCTCACCCTTACCCCCACAAGTAAGAGATTACCCCACCCTTACCCCCACAAGAAATACCTCACCCCTTACCCCCACAAGTAAGAGATTGCCTCATCCTTACCCCCACAAGTAAGAGATTACCTCACCCTTACCCCCACAAGTAAGAGATTACCCCACCCTTACCCCCACAAGAAATACCTCACCCCTTACCCCCACAAGTAAGAGATTACCTCAACCTTACCCCCACAAGAGATTACCTCACCCTTACCCCCACAAGCAAGAGATTACCTCACCCTTACCCCCACAAGCAAGAGATTACCTCACCCTGGCCCCCACAAGTAAGAGATTACCTCACCCTTACCCCCACAAGAGATTACCTCACCCTTACCCCCACAAGAGATTACCTCACCCTTACCCCCACAAGAGATTACCTCACCCTTACCCCCACAAGTAAGAGATTACCTCACCCTTACCCCCACAAGTAAGAGATTACCTTACCCCCACAAGAGATTACCTCACCCTTACCTCCACAAGAGATTACCTCACCCTTACCCCCACAAGCAAGAGATTACCTCACCCTGGCCCCCACAAGAGATTACCTCACCCTGGCCCCCACAAGTAAGAGATTACCTCACCCTTACCCCCACAAGCAAGAGATTACCTCACCCTGGCCCCCACAAGAGATTACCTCACCCCTTACAAGTAAGAGATTACCTGGGCTTCCTGAAGATCATGCCGTACTTCTGACAGGCCAGGCCCACCGTTGGCGTGTAGATGATGGGCATCATCAGCTCGACGTTCTCCGTGATGACGCGGTAGAAGAGCTTCTCCGAGCGGTCCTGCACGCCCTGCATGAAGATGAAGCGGTCAAGGTCGTTCTCCCAGCGGTGGAAGTTCTGCATGATCTGGTACACCTGCTGGTCCTGGTCCAGCAGAGCGGGGGGCAGGAGTCCATGGATGCCGAGCATTTGACGTTCTTCTAACGTGAAGGCCATTCCCTGTCAAACATACCGGATATGATGTCATTGTGGGAAAAATCAAGTCATTATTAAACGTGTTGTTTATTTTTGTATTGAACACAAAAACATACAAATAAGATGCATTAGGCACATAAATGTTCACCGTTTAACTTGAATACCATATTATATTGCACTAGAACTTGAACAACAAACAAATACCAAGCAAATTATTGATTTTTTGTTATACACAAGGCTTTACATGGTTTCTTCTCAAGCAACATGTAGTAGCAATGCAAAAACCGCGAGTAGTGTCGATCTGACCGTAATACGTAGGAAGTGAGGAATGTGATACAATTAATCGGATCAAATATGTCAATGTGATATTAGCCAAAAATACGTTGAGTTCCTCTCTTAGACCTATACCGCCATTTCTGGACATTTACGGAGATTGTGTGGTAAAATCTCAAAATGTACAGAAATTGTGTGGTCAGAGGCGGACACCGAAAATGATATATTTTCTATTTAATTTTTTTTTCGTTTGGGGAGGGGAAAAGGGCGGTAGACGTTTTGGTGGGGTGGGGTGGGGGTGGGGTGGGGGGCTGCATGGAAGAAACTCTGAGGCCATGAAAGCAAATCCAGAAAGTAAATCAAGCTGTAGTCGGAGTCAGCGAACCATATGGCACATAACAAACTGACACGTCATTTTTAATAGTGTTGGATGAAATACCCATCAATATTAGAGTAAAAAACGAAGTAGAAGAATACACGTTATAGATCTATATTTTAAAATTCAGCTTTTCAGGAGATGCTATTCTTCTTAGGTAACTCTAGCAATAAAATACAAGTGATCTTCGTTTAAAGCAACTAACTACACCGACGTTTAATTATCTGTATGTACAAGTATGTGTGAACAGATGCACACTATCGGTTATCTATTAGTGTGTAATCTGGGTAGGCTAAACACCATCAACAGGTAATACAAAAGAAGGATTTCGTGTGTACTGCCCAGTGCTACAGCGTCTGTGTGAGAGATTGGTCGAGTATATCAGCTTTTTACATGCATAGTACTAGCGTGATCTTTGTATGGCATATTTTTTCATGATCTTAATGGGGCCTGATCTTTTTAGTGTGTAATCTGGGTAGGCTAAACACCATCAACAGGTAATACAAAAGAAGGATTTCGTGTGTACTGCCCAGTGCTACAGCGTCTGTGTGAGAGATTGGTCGAGTATATCAGCTTTTTACATGCATAGTACTAGCGTGATCTTTGTATGGCATATTTTTTCATGATCTTAATGGGGCCTGATCTTTTTGGTATATGATCTTTGTGGGGCATGGTTTTTTGGAGGACGACGTTTGTGTTGCATAAGATATATGTGTTACATGTTATACGTGCGACATTTTATATGAGAAACATAATTTGAGTATTACATGATCATTGTGGGACATGATCATTGCGGGACATGATCTTTTTGGTGTATGATCGTTACTGTGCTTGATCATTGTGGGACATGATCTTTGTGGTGCTTGATCGTTACGGCGCATGATCTTTGAGGGGCATGGTTTTTGTGGTACATGGTCTTTAGCGTAAAAGTAAATAATAGGCTACATTAAACAGTCCTAACATTAGTGAACCGGTTGACAATAAACAAATAGGCGTTTGTAGTGTCTTCACCCACGCATTACTCTAATCGTTCATTAAAGCGACATCTAGATCTAGACTGAAGCTTTGTTTGGGTTAGCTGGAAATGGGGGGGGGGGGGGCTGCGATGGTGCAACATTAGCCTACATTACATAGTACATTGAGGTTTTTAAAAAGAACGTGCTGAGATGGCAGTTTTATCCACGATCCAATTTTAAAAAAATAGGCCAGGCTATTGAATTAAACATCTAACCGGCAGCTTATTTGTGATATACGATCTTTATATGTGCCGTGGTACAATTCAAATCACTCCTCACAATGACAAAGCAGGTTTTAAAAATAGACATTTCCTTTACAGCTAGACTGAAGTAGCCAAGTTATTTGTTTTTCCCCCGGGTTTATCATAGATCCCTAATGACAAATACATGACTTCGCTTTAGAGATGTTGTGTATTTTAAGACGCGGAAATCTGATTGAGATAAGTATAAAAATGTTCCACTGAAACTTAGTCTCTGCATCAAAATTTTCCTCAACAGTTACAAGATTAGTAGGTCAAAGTTCGGTAAAGCAAGTCATTGGGTGCGGCAACAGCTAGGCACATACAAACAGCGTGCCGGATCGTTTTGATAAAGTTGTTCTTAAATTTCGTAAATAAATGGAATTTAAAAACATAATTAAGGTTACAAATATTTACTTCAGTCGGCTAATACACAACATCTGCGTGTTCATCAAGCGTTTCCTTTACAAACAAAAAGATAGATATCTTAAAAATCTTATTCACACGATGGTCATATATTTTTAAACAAGGCCAGACTTGAGGATCGTGGTCTTTTATAAGCAGTAAACACTTATAATACACTTATTGATATTTATACACACACAAATGATTGTACTTATGCTAAAAATGCGACAGTAACGCTACTTCGCGGTTTTTTTTTTTGTTACTTATCGCGGCCGGCTCTGGGCCCATATTAACTAACCTTTACCAGCGATGACCGAGGGATTACTGCATACTAAATCACTAGTGTATAGGTCTTTCCGTTAAAATTAGGGGACGTCAAATTAGGTGTCACTCTATTTTGTGATCCCGCATTGCCGCACTTCGTCACCATTTGCCAGAACCCCCCCAACTTTAACAAAAACTAACACCTTTTGACATCATTGAAGCTCCCAGGTTTGGTTGAATTGGGGTTTTGAATAAAAATGTAAGTTAGCCCTAAACATGGAAAATATTTTCATTTATCAAATCTAAATTACTATTTAACTCATAAAAATCTAGTGTCTTATAGTTAGTCTTGTGAAGTGACTGTAGGAGGTAGATCTAGAAATCTAGATGCTAGATCTAGAAATCTAGATACTAGATTAGGCTCTAGAGAAAGTCTAGATCTAATCTAGATCTAGGACAGATGTATTGAGTCTAAGTCTAAAACTAAAACCGAAATGCTAATCTATTCTAAACCGGTACATACATATTAGTATTACATAGTGACTAGTCTTCTCTCGAGAAATTAGTTACTAAGTTTAGTAAGTTAGGCTATTTTTTTTATAATATTAGTAATAGTTAGTTAGATTCTACTATTAGGAAAGATATTGATAAAAATATTTAAAACATATAGATCTAGATCTAGATTCTAAATCTAGAATCTAGTCTAAAGAAGAAAAGACGGGTGAGAAGTAGCAAGAGTCTAGAGAATCTATTGAGAGTGAGTAGCTTAAATTTTAATAAAGGCAAAGGTAAGAAGTAGAAGAACTCACTTTGTTTAGGACTGGATCTCGCAAAATTTCGATACCATGAACTCTGGTTCGGGCTGTTGTAGTTTGTTTGGGAGGCATATTGCTTCGTATTTCCTGTTTAGAATTACACTCAGTTAAGTTTGACATGTTTTTTAGAAATAACGTCGAGTGTTCGGGTTTTTCATTCAACGGTTGTTGCCGCAGTAGTTTAAAAAAACTGACTGGTTGACAGTGGTATTATATAAATAGATCGACTGATCATGTGATCAAAACACAACAATCGTCTTTCCTGTACCGTAATTGTTTAAAAAAAATCAAGTAGGCAAGATTATATTTCCTAATCAGGCAAACAATGCTATCTAAACTCTACTTAGCCTTTTAATTTAAGTTCATCATCATATCACATTACTGCCCGTCACCCCTGCTGGGGTATGGACCGCCAACCAAAGATTTCAAGTGTCCTTTGTCATTTTCTCAACCTGACTCCGGGTAAAGCCTATCTTTCTGGTTTTCGCTTCTATGTCCCATCACCAGGTATTACTTGGTTGACTTCTTTTGCGCTTTCCTTGTGAGTTCCATCTCAATGCCTGCCTGGCGATATTGGTTGACGGTCTGCGTAGTGTGCGCCCTATCCATATCCATCTTCTTTTCCTAATATCTTCTTCAGCGGAAATTTACCCTGCCGTTTCCTATACGTGAACGTTGGTGATGGTGTGGGGATAGTTGATCCCGAGTATTCGTCTGAGGCAGCTGTTTTAAAACTCTGGACTTTACCAATGGTCGTCCTTTTCATCCTCCAAGTCTCCGCCTAATACAACAACACTGATTTTACGTTAAAGTTGAGCAGGCACATATTGATGAACAAGGAGAGCTCACTGGAAGTCCAGATATTCTTTTACTGTGTGAAGGCAACATCCGTATCTGTTCTTCCCCGATGTTCGTCAACGCTACCTCAGTAGGTAAAGGACTGCTTTTCATCCAAGGGGACTTCACAAAGTGTGACCCTCCAGTGCTGATGGCGTTAATCTTCAGTACTTTTGTCTTTATCGGTGTGATGTTAAATCCAACCTGCGCCGACTTTTTCTGCCACCTGAGTGTAAGTTTCGCAAGTCTCAAATAAAAGACTAGCTGTAGGCATATACCAAAAGAATGGGTGGGCTGTTTGTAACCTACGTGAAGACCTGTTAGGACGCTGCATTTCAATGTCCAGTTAACACTGCAACGCAAAAAGGACAATTACAATAGTGATTTTTAAAATGTAGTCATGTTTGTAATATGTGCAGTTTCTTTTGCATACCTTTATATTCGTTATCACGGTTAGTGTTTTCTCCACTTACACCGTGATGTCCAACAACCCAACTTGCGGCTATGCCGATCAGCTAGTGTACGATTTCAAAACAAATAAACTATTTTTTTAAAACTGTGTATACGTATATATTGTTTTGAAGAGAAACTTACATAGAAAACATCGGGACGGTCGCTCTGAACGAGGGAAGGGATGACTGCACGTAGGTCATCTGTAGGGAGGTTGATGTTGGTAAAAATATCTTTAGGTTGTGAACCATTGAGTCTCGCCAACAAGTTAGCCGAATGTCCATAACACACGTTCTATGCTTTCTGCTGTAAATGTTTGTAATATCAGTGTTCTTATTTGTCCATTTTATTCTGGGTTGCTTTTCTTTTCACTAACCAATCAAATAAGAACAATCGTACGTATGTAATGGGAGAAACAAATGCTGCAATAAAACCATTTTAAAAAGTTATTTGAGTTTTATTTTAATATTAAACATTGATTGTTTATCACAATTGTAATTTTACCTATTTAAATACAAGCGTAAAACCAAAAGAAATATTTTCTGAAGCACTCTGTTTATTTGAAGCTCTATCAACTATAATATAAAACGAATCTTCAAAGAATACCCCCCTCCAATTTCTCTATATAAAAAAAAGTCTTCTTAAGAGAAAAGACAATGGCTAAAATGACTTTTCAAAATGCAAAGCGTGTCGTCACATTTTGACTCCATCCCCCGTCACTCAAATGTTCCCCTCCCCCTAGAAGTGTTACATCTTTTATGGACGACCTCTGGGTAGACTGGACGGGACACCTGGGAATATCTCGTTAGGTCGACTGGAAAAAATTCCCAGTGGCCGCCATGACCGGTGCTATAAAAGGCCTATTATTAGTACGTTGATTTAAAAAAAAAAGTCTCTATTTTATTAACTCTTCGGATTTTTCGTTTTCTTTTTTATTATAAATTGCAATCGGTAAAGTATCCCGTGACTTTTTAGGCACCAGTCCACAGGAGTAGATGATAAAAAAAATGCACTATGAAAATAGGGCCGCTAAAACTTTCCTGGGCCGCTTGGACGACCACTTACCGAACAAAGCATATGTGTGATTAGCTATATATAAAAACAACAACAACAACAAAGAACAGTAAACAAATCGTTTTCGTGGTCAAGTCATAAAAAATAAATGAAAAATAAAAAAAAAGCCTATAGCTTAATTTAATGATAAAGGCCTATTTGTACAATGTCGATTATGACTACTTATAACTAGTAGACCTAACAAATTATCCCAATTAAGCCATAGGAACACTACAAAATTAAGCATAGGGTATTTGAAAATCACAAGAAAGCTCAACATGATTTTAAAAAAAATACTCATGTTAATAGAAGGGGATAACAGACTTCGAGACTCTCTTATTTATATCAATACGGTAAATAAAATCAATGCAGCATACCTTATTTAATACAATAATAATAAAAAATCTTTTCGGCTTTGTCCTAAAGACAAATTTTTGTTTCGGTAGGCTCTAGGCCTCCGTGTGATATAATTTTGAATCTTAAAATAATTACCAATTATATCTGTTTATTTTCAATTAATTCATAATTTTCGTAATCCTCATACTAAATTATTTAAAGTGAAAAAGGAAAGAAAAGCTGACGCAAGCTCCGTAGGCCTAACTAAGCGTACAGAAAAAGACAATGTTGGAAGATATCGCTGGTTTGAAATCACCGGATTTTGCGGCAACGGTGAATGCGATGCTGTTCTTTTTCTGTAGGCCCTAAGATTTTTTAATTTCACAGGTTGTTCTTATTCTTATAGATCTAGATCTAGACTATATTAATTAAATTTAGTACTGTCTTCTTATAAATGTAACATGATCTCTCTATGAAGACTAATATTTAGATATATAAAACAGTGGGCTAAATCGGCAGGATAAAAAAAAATCTTTAGTGTTCTTTAATCTTTTTTAGGCCTGGCCTAGACTTTAACTTTTTTTATGTAGATCTAGATCTATGTGTTAAGTGATAAGTGTTATGTAATATGTAAGAATAATTCTTGATTCTTAGTGAAGTGTCACTAGATTCTAGATCTAGAATCTAGTAGTCTGTTGTCACTAGACTCACTAGTCTAACTCAGAACTGCCAACTCAGAGTTGAGCACACACTCACACTGACTCTAAGTATTATCTAACTTAGTAACTTAAACAACTAGATCTCTAGATGGTAGATCTAGCTAGATCTAGATTCTAGATCTAGATTAGAATCTAGACCTGGATCTAGTGACAGCTAGATCTAGACTAGATCTGATCTAACTTGACTAACACTGCTCTCAGCAGACCTAGAATCTGGATATACTGATCTAGATCTAGTTATAGTAGGCCTATAGAATCCATGGCTAATTGACGTGAGCGCGAAAGTATTCGAGAGGCCCATTAATTAATTTAAAAATCATGCACGGCATAGTTACAATTATTAATATGGTTATAAAATCCTGTCTGTTTTTTCGGACTTTACTATGTATTTGATGTTTTTAATATGTTCGGTAACTAGGCCTAAATAAAAATAAAAAAAAAAGCAAAAATAATTTGGATTTCACATGTAATGGCGACATAAACAATGGCATTCCGCTATTCGATAGGCTGCCGTAAATTTCATTTAAAATTTTATTGTACACATTGTAAGCTAAAAAAAGAAAAACTAGGTCATGGGGTTTAAACTTGCATTGTTATTTATAAACTTTATCTGCAAAGTTTTGTAAACAAATAATTATCGATCACGTAATTCCTGTACAGCCAATCAATATGTGTCTTACGAAAGTGAAACATCTGGTTATAACTTAGGCTTGATGAAAATAAATAGAAATGTAGCCTTTAACTCAACAAATTATTTTCAAGTTCTCTGGATTTGCAACTTAAAACCATTATTCTAAAAATATGAAATTTCAAAATTAATATTAGGCTTAGGCCTAAGTCATTATTTTTTATTATTTTTACGGTCTAAATCTAAAAAAGCACGTTTTTATTCCATGTCAACAACATGATGGAAGGATTCTCGTCAACTCGCTCGCGTCCATTCAATTTGGCCTACTAGTACACTACACTGTATACAAAAGTTTGGATGATTGAAGATACTTATGGATATCTGACAATAGACTCTCCCAAAAATAGGTGTACTTTAGCCAAGGGTTTGGCATATGGTAGGCCTAGTGTGGGGGTTATAGATAAAGGGCTTGCATTGCAACACGTCATTAGTTAACCACCGTAACCTAACATCCTTTTTAAAGAAGATTCTGTTATCAGACAGGGATAAAAAAAATCCCCAGAAGTTTTAAGAACAAATTGCACTTTTATTGGTATAGTTTTCTCCCAAACATAATAAATTATCAATTTTTTATTTGAATGCTGCAGTATTCAAAATTAAATCTTCATCGATTGGCGTCTCTCTGCGATGAATGAAAACTGTGCGTCTCACTAAATCACTTTAATATTTTAAAACAGTACTAAATTAATGGACCCTGCCTATTTCATGCCAGATCTATTTTAATTTTTTGTAAATTTAAAAATTAGGCCTAAAGGTTTTTTAATCAAAAGTTCTTCAATAATTTTTCACACATTGTTCTGTTTTCAAGACAGTGGGTTCTAGGTACCAATCAACCACACCAGAATTTATAACTGAGAAGTTTTTGAGTATTTATTATAGATATATTATAGAAAGATATAAGACTCTAATATAACACTCCTCAATAGAAAAAATCTTATTATTATGTTAAAATTCCGCTTTGGCTTGATTATGACAGCTTTTTAGCTTTATTCACCGTAACTTTTTTAACCGAAAAAAAATAAAAAAAGCATTTGCTATTAGTATCTGAATGTGCATATTTCAGAGCAACATGTTTTAATATTGATTCACTGTAATAAACGTATAATTTGTTGGGATATAACATAGGTAACCATAAAAAAAAACAACAGTCTTATAATTAGGCCCTATTTATTGTATTGTGTGGCTTCTCAGAGGGTAACATACCAGGTTTTATTGATTTTTCTCCCTTAGTGAGTGTGAGGGCGTCTGAATCTCAAAGAAAGCACAACACGATTGAGGCTATTACAGTATTCTTTATTTCTCTATCTCCCGTCCTCCAGTTCCAACATCAACCTCCTTGCTTCCACACTCAACCTTCAACTGTCCTCCGCATTCATCCCTACACACCACCTTTCTCTCGCTCACAACACAGCCGCTGTCACCCGACCAGTCGCTTCCCTTGTACCCTCGTACACACCCGGCCTCGCGTCTCACTACATGATACATATACACACGCAGTGACCTGTTCCACGTATTCACCTTTCATACACATTACATCACCACAGTGAGTTAAAGAGTTTTAAAACAACTGAATAATTTAAATACACTATATCAGTTTATGTTAACTTAAAATAGCTTAAATTCGGAAATATTATTAAAATTATTGGAGACAGGCAAACTCATATTACCAAATCTCTTTTAGGTGGCTTAATATTTTAATGAAGAGTACATTATTGGAAATTTGCAACCTTAATCCGTATGTCATTTTAAAAATGTATCTTGCTTTCAATCACCAAACAAATTAACTTCAACCAATAACATCCTATCATTCCACCTTAGTTGTCTATGTAAGTTAACTCTGATTTCCATGCAGACCTCATTCTAGTAAGACCTATTTTTACTGTCCGAAAATTATATGGGAGTCAACTATAAAGAATTAGCAGTCCTTTATTTTATAACCAAAACAGATAAAATTACTTTGTAAATTGGATCATTAATTTCTTCATAATATCAGTATATTTATTAATAGTAATAATATTTATTTAAAATATAATTTGGTTAGTTTATTAACTCCACAGAGACAAATACTAGAAATGAGTGGGTCTAATGGTGCTGTCAATACTTTATTAAAGTACCGTTTTGTGAAAAAGTCAGCCTCACAGATCAGTCATTCGGACTCACAGGATCAAAATGTGTGCAATGTGTTTTCCAGAGGTACTCTCCTTTGAAAGATTCTAGGTTTTTCATGCACTACAAAAAATGACAATGTTCCTTTGAAAATGTAAACAAGAACTCTTTCTGAAATAATTCTCCTAATTATGTTTTTTAGAAACCTTTGGGTTAAAACTTAAGACCTATTTTTTATTTTGACACACCCAATTCTAAATGTTTTATTCAAATAAATACACATTTTCTACATGCTAGTAATAATAAAATGTTGACATAGTTCCAAGAAGTAATATTTATTTTTAAAAAGCCATTAAACTGTGCCACATAAATATTGTATATTTTTAAAATTTATTTACAGCATGCAGCAGTATGTATAATTAAATTGTATTTTTCTAGAAAACAGCCACAATTCCTTTGACAGTCAAGCAACTTACATTTATTCAAATCAAAATTCCTTTAACGGGAGCCAAGTTTCTATGGATAGTCAAGCAACTTTAGTTAACAGCCAAGGATATTTAGATAGCTTTGATAGCCAGAGTACTCAACCTTATGGCTCACAGTACTCTTCCCAGCATTCAGTGAGCAACAATGCTGTTGGGAATTCACCATCCAGTCCAGTATTTGAGTCCAGAACAAATGCCAACCATAAGATAATAATAAATCACTCAGCACCTTCAGATTCTCCAGCTCCTGGACCTTGGGTGTCTAAGGCAATAGGTCCTATGGTAGTCAGCAGTAATGGGAATCGGGGGCATATACAAAGGTCAGCTCTTTTTTTATTTATTTAAACATTTTTTTTTATACATCATGTTAAATTAAACAAGTTGGTAATAATCAATCTGAATACAAACAGAAAGAAACTCATCCTTTGTATTTTAGTGTGATATCTTTGCATAAATGAATTGTAAATACTTCTTAAAAGCAGTACACATTTAGTTTATCTACCTTTAGGCATGGAGGGTGGGTTTAAAATTACTATATGCTTTTAAATAACTACTGTCGTATTTTAGGTACATTCAGAACACTGCTTACTGTATGACCACACAGATCTAAAAATTACACTTGACAGTGGAATAAAATTGTCTAAATTCACCACCATTTATTTGATTCTAATTGCAGGTCACTATACTAAATTATTAATGTTTATATATTTAAAATGTAATCTTATTAGGGCAACGGCTCGAAGAGTACTTGATTCCCAAGAAGAAATGACACCACTTAACAACTCACCTTCAAAAGGAGATGACAGTGAAGATTTTTTCCAGCGCTTAAAGAAGATGTTTCCTGAAAAAAGTGAAAATAGGATGAGGGCTGCTCTAATTGTTTACCCTAGAGATTTCAATAAAGCTGTACAGTTTATGGTGTCTGAGCCTTCACCAAAGCCAAAGTCTGGAGGTGACCTTTTTAAAAAATGTGGCCCTTTTTAAAATTAGTTTTCAGTTTAAAAACAAAATAGAAATAGTTGTTGTTTTGTTTGGTTATGCAATATAAATCACTATCAGTCAACTGTTTAGTAGCATTAAGACCTTTTTTTGCTGGATTTTTATTCTGTGCATTATTTGTTTAATTTCAATAGAAAAGCGTACAGTGCCAGATTCTGATGAATTACCAGAAATTCGGGGCAACTACAAAAGGATTAAAATGATGCCGAGATCCCCTTCACCTGTAAGAGTTCTCAGTGTGGACTTCTTAAAGGAATCTTCAAAGTCTGAGTTGTTTCAAAAAGGAATAGAATTTTTACAAGGTTGCTTCCCAGCTAAATCAGTTGAGGTAAGGAGTTTTTTATTTACATTAATTATAGGTGTTTAATATTATTCTGGCAATACTTATGCAGTCATCAGTCTAGTTCAGCAACTATAATTTCTTATTCTCATAGTTGTGCAACATTAAAAGATGTCTAGCGTTGAGATTTTACAATATTTCAGCATTTGCGCAAAGTTTTAGAAGCTAATAATGGAAATACAGAAACTGCAGTGGAAGCCCTGACCAATGAAGATTCTGCTGATGCCTTACTTGCACAGTCTTTAAGTGAAAAAGAAGCTGGACCCAGCTCATCTGTTCGGAATATAGGGAAGCAAAACTCTGCATTAAAATCAAATCTTTCCTCTTCAAAAGGTACCTTTAAAAAATGAAATTTGCTTCAATAAGTGTTGTAAAATGATGTATTTTATTAATTATTACATTCTGAATATTGTTTTACTTAATATTTATCATTCACATGTAAATAACATTTATTTCTTAATCTTCAGTTCGTAAGAAAAGTAAGAAAGATATTGATCTCAGTGATGAAGATGATGATTATGATGAGTATGACAACAGTGGGGATAGTGATGATAGTGAGGTATGTCACTTGTGTTGTCTATGGCTTTATGTTGCTAAATATAAATTACTTATGTTTATCAAATTAATGTCTCTTTTTTCAGGATCTAGACAACAAAACAAAATCAGAGACAGACAATTTTCTACAATTTTTTGAGGAAGCAACAGTTGAGGAACTTACAGCTATGCCAGGGTGTTCCAAAAAGAAAGCTGAAGTTATTATTTCTTTACGACCATTCAAAACTTGGCAAAAGTTGGTATGTTTTGGCTTAATCCCTTTCCTATTATTCTAATTGTTTGATAAATAAAAGCCTGTTAGTGTTAAGCTAGACCTATGATGCTTTTACAGTTTGTCAGTCATTATTTAAGTTTGTCATTGGGGACTTAAAGTTATATTTTAATTGTGTAATTCACACTCATATTTTGACACAAATGACTAAATCATAGGCCTATCAGAGAACATCTATAATAATAGTTTCGCTGTCTGTCTGACAAGAACGCTCTGTCTGACAAGAACGCTCTGTCTCTATAATAATAGTTTCGCTGTCTGTCTGACAAGAACGCTCTGTCTGACAAGAACGCTCTAGAGAAAACACAAGCAATTTAAAAACATGCACAGTAATTCGAAAAACGAAATATGACGTCGACACATTTAGCGTAGAGTAGAACATAATCTCAAACCAGAGAGTGCACACAGTAATGTAATGACGTCATTGATTCTCGCGTAAACATTGAAAAAAAGGAAATGTTGTCTAATCTAAATGGTTTGCGTGAAGAGTTTCTTGCATACAATTCTTCGGGTAGGGGCGAAGCCCCACCCCCCGCGTAAGAACGTCTGAGCCCCCCCCCCCCCCTCCCCAACTCAAAAGAAATTTCCTCATCGATACTCTATAATAAAATTACAGCCTAATTAATGTGTCTAATCTAAAAAGTGGTTTTCTTGCAATGGGACGGTAGACATGTTTTTTTTTTGGGGTGGGGGGTGGGGGGGTGGGGGGGTGGTGTGTGGAGGTGGGGGGGGGGTGGGGGGGGGGTTGGTTTCAGTGTTTCTTTCAGACTTTTTCCTCCCCGGAGAGGGGTGGGGGTACTTGAAATTTTCGGGGGCGGGGGTAGAATTTTCTGGGAGGGGGCGGACACTGGAAAAAGTATATAATTATATTTCGTTGAATGGGGCGGTAGACATGTTTTTTTTGGGGGGGGGGGGGGTGGGGGGGCGGTGTGTGGAGGGGGTGGGGGTGGGGTGGGGGTGGTGTGTGGTGGGGTGGGTTGGTTTTAGTTTAGAGAAAAGAGACAGCACTATCAGCCTAGCGCCCGTTGTACCCTTCCTCAACGGGCCATTTTTCTCGTTTAAAAGAATTTGCTTCAATTCTGACAAAACAAATAATACAAAATTTAATTCTTAAAAAATATACTCACAACATGATACAATACTCACAACACGATATACAATACTCACAACACGATACAACATGATATGACTTGCGCAAGTATGATGTGACAGTGACTAATTGTTTCTTCTGTGACCTTAACAAAAATACTTCACAATCAATTCAATGAGCTCTGTTAAATACATTTTGTAGCTGGAAGCATTCAACACAGAAAAAAGTTTGTCTACCTCCCTTATTTCTGGCTGTAAAGAGATCATGCAGGTGCGGAATACCATTCGACGGTTGATGATGCGTTGTGAAAGTATTTCTCAGCAGATGGGTCAAGTTGTTTCAAAACTTACCAAGCATGGTGGGTCATACAGTGAGAAAGACGACAAAAGAATTACCAAACAGCCAGATCTGCTGCCGAAAGAGTAATTATCTTTATTTATGTAGATTGATTGGGTATTAATAGAAAGGTTAAAAGTTGTAAGCTCATGTTATATTTATAAGCATTTCAGTTATTTTTCCCCTAAAGTTACAACATCTATAGCTACAAAACCTCGATGTGTATTATTTAGATTATCTCCATACATGTTGATGTTAGTGAACGAAAAACTAGGCAAAAATCATTAACTTTTATTTTGGTTTCTGCATCCATATTGCAAGTAATAAAAGACCATTAGTTTTAAGTTTCAAGTACGTAGATGACTATGAACTTATTAAAGTTAGAATGAGTCTGAAATGATATTGTGCTATATATGATAAATCTAATATTAGTGTTTCTGTAACTATTAACTACATAGTTAATGAAAAAATATAATAGTAAATCAGCAATTCAGTTTCTTAAAACAGTATTTGATTGTTAGCTAACATTAATAGAAGTTTTATTCTAAGATGAAGTACATTTAAAAATAGTAATATTTTATAATTAACTTTTAATGATGATTAAATTATTAATTCTAACTCTAACTTTAAAAAAGATTGCATCTGGTTGATTTAAAATGGTGAGTGTATGATTATTTTCATACTGTTTCATGAATCAACTATTTTTTGAAGAATTAACTCCCTTGTGATACAGTTGTTGACCTGTTACTGATAGGTGGTTTAATCCATATTTTACTTCCAGACTTGAGTTACAACCATACCAATTGATAGGACTTAGCTGGTTGCGAATCATGCATGAGCAGCAGCTCAACGGAATTTTGGCTGATGAAATGGTAAAACAGATGGATACTTATTGTAAACAATTTTTTAAGAAGTGTTAAAAAGAAATTTTGCAGTGTGTTTAATGGTTCAACAGTTTTGTATAATACATCTATAAAATGTAGGGGCTAGGAAAAACTATTCAAGCCATTGCTTTTCTGGCTCATCTGATGGAAGAAGGGGAGGAAGGACCTCATGTTATTATTGTACCATCTTCAACTATAGGTTGGTCCACATTTCTTTTAACACCTTGTGCTTGTTGTTATTTCTATAATTAATACTTCAGTTTTGTTACCCATGATTGATTATTTGAAGAAATAGTTTTTTATACACAATTTGTTTGTAGAAAACTGGTTACGTGAGCTACAGAGGTGGTGCCCTACCCTAAAAGTTGTTGTATATTATGGATCTCAGGAAGAGAGGAGAGCTGTTAGACATTCCATATTTTTTCAAGGGGAGGAGTTTAATGTATTGCTAACAACGTAAGAGTTTTCACATTGTTGAAATAATTATTTACTTTTGTAATAAAAGATTACTTGTTAAATTAATTATTGACTCTTGTAATAAAAGGTTGACTTGTTGAAGTAATGAATGACTTCAGTATGTTGCTTACTTTGTCGTCATAGTTATAACATGGCTACTGGTGGGGTGGAAGACAGAGTGCTGTTTAAAAAATTTGAATTCCACTACGCTGTATTTGATGAAGGCCATATGCTAAAGAATATGTCATCACTGAGATTTCAGAACTTAATGAAAATTGCAGTAAGTTGTTGTCTTGTAATGTTTTTTTCGTAATGTTTATAGTAATAGTTTGGATAGTGTTTTATTGCTTTAATGGTTAAGTGGTGTGTCCATTGGCTTCCCTAAGTTGTGATGTTTTTTCTCAGGCAGAACGGCGTTTACTATTGACTGGGACACCCCTACAGAATAACTTGCTGGAGTTAATGTCTCTTCTTTGTTTTGTGATGCCTGAAATATTTCAAGGAAAAACTGACCATTTAAAAAAAGTATTTGCCATGATTTCTGTAAGTTTATTTTTTTAAATAATTAAATTGCTCATTTTAAAATGAAAATAAATGATGCAGAATCTCTTTTTTAATTTATTTTTAATTAATAAAGTAGTTTTACTCTTTTGAAAAATTATTTTTGTCATTCCTATAGCGATCTGAAGATAAACAAAAGAGCCGATTTGAAAAAGACAGAATAGCCCAAGCAAAGAGAATTATGAAACCTTTTGTACTACGAAGGTTAAAACGTGATGTTAGTATTCAAATTTGTTATTTTGTTTTGTATTCTTTGATGTGGAGTGTTGTAGTGTAATGAAACTGTTATCTCACAAAGTTTATAATATGATGTGTAGCTTTGAGTTAGAGCCTTTAGGTTGTGATCCAAGATTTATTGTATTAAAAATAATTAATATCCAGGTAATAAAAGTTTTTTAACAAACTTTTAAAATTAATTAATTTTTTAAAATTAATTAATAACTTAATTACATTAATACAAGGACTTGATTGATTGTTAAAAAATCTGAACTTTGCTTGCAGGTTCTACAACAGCTCCCCAAAAAGACTGAGCGCATAGAGAAATGTTGCATGATTCCAGCCCAGCAAGACCTCTATGACAGACTTGTGACCAAGTACTCACAGGAACTGAAGGATGATGAAGACACCTCAACTATAGGAGGTGTTGGGATATTCATGCAGTTTAGGAAAGCTGCTAACCACCCTCTGCTGCTACGCAACTTGTACACTGATGATCAGTTGAAAAAGATGGCCAAGGATATAGCTAGAGTATTATTTTTTTTAAATTTAAATTTTCCTTATCCATTACTACATAGGAATTAAGATTTTTGAGATTTTTATTGTTTTGTTATTGTCCGTAGGAGCCTTCACACAAAGAAAGAGGAGCTCTGCCACATCTTATAGAAGAGGACATGTCTGTCCTAAATGATTTTGAGTTGCTAAATCTTTGTAAGCAGTATAAGGTAAGACTGGGAATTCTTTGTCATATCATATTTTTTTATGTTGAAATTTTAGGACTGTTGATTTAAGATTACAAAATGCAATTTGTCATTTTCTGATTTTAATAGTTTGATCCAATAACACATCTACTAACAAGTTATACTTGCAGAATTTGATACCTTTTTATAAATTTTACTGTTAACCATACTTTGCTACAATCAAGTTAAAACATAATTTTTTAAACATGTTATGAATAGTAATTGTAATTATTGAATAGGAAGTTTTTGTTTGTTTCAGAAATACCTTGGCAAATATTGTCTAGATCAGTCTGTCATTTTAGATTCTGGAAAGTTTAGGAAACTTGATGAGTTACTACCAGGAATGAAAGAAAAGGTTAGTATGCCACTTAAAAACATACCATTACTATAAAATATTAATTAATATTATTATTAATTTGTGCTAGAGCATTATATCTTTATTACACCTGTGATGCTACTGGTCTGTTACATTTGCAGGGTGACCGTGTGCTACTGTTCAGTCAGTTCACCATGATGTTAGATATTGTAGAGCTCTACTTGGAAGAAAGAGGCCATAAATACATCAGGATGGATGGTCAAACTCCTGTTCCTGACAGGTGAGGCACTCCTGTGTTAGATAATTGAATAACCATTAAAAAAACTTTTTTCTTAAATATTTAAAAACATGAACTCTCACTTTTCTTGTTACTGGTCAATTGTTAACATTTTGTATATATGAATTTTTTTTCAAGTTAAGCCGTTTAAAGATGTTGCATTTGGCATGTGAAGATATCTAGGATAGCAGCATAAAGAAGTTTAGGCTCTCTGTGTTAAGATGTTTTGGTTGATTGTGTAAAGATGTTTAGACTGGTTGAGGATGATTGTGTAAAGATGTTTAGACTGGTTGAGGACGATTGTGTAAAGATGTTTAGGCTGGTTAAGTTTGTTTATATAAAGATGTTTAAACTGATTGGTTGTAAAAATTTGTTCTGTGATCTCTAGGCTGCAGCTGATTGATAGGTTCAACAATGAACCCGACATTTTTATATTTCTACTGTCAACACGAGCTGGTGGTGTGGGCATTAACTTGGCTGCAGCCAACACAATTATCCTGCATGATATTGACTTCAACCCATACAATGACAAGCAAGCTGAAGATAGGTGCCATAGACTGGGGCAGAAGAGGTTTGTTATTTCTTGTTGTTCTAGGCATTTTTGTGAAAAAATATTCATGATATAATTACTCAGACCATATCAAGCATGCACATCTTAGTATACTAAATTTAGTAGTATTTTAAAAATATTTTGCAGGGCAGTAACTGGTGAAATTGTTCTGTATATTTTTACAACTGTTACAGGGAGGTAACTGTTGTGAAACTGTTGTGTGAAGACACAGTAGATGAGGCCATGCTGAGATGTGCTAATGATAAGCTAGCTCTAGAGAAAGATCTAACAGGCCCCACCAATGGTAAGTCAACAGTTTTATTCAGGGCGACACATTTCAGCTGGTATAAAATGGCCAGTTTTTATCCCATGAGCTGGAACTTGTTTGATAACCCATGAATATTTCCGCAGACGGTGAAAGTGAAGAAAATTCTAAAGATGTAGCCAATCTGTTGAAAGAGGTTCTACGATCCAGACAGAAGAAGAAAGACGACCACAATGAAAGTGGAAGTAGTCAGAAAGAAGTGCAGTTATGACACTAGTGCCACTTATTCAGCTATGCCAAAATGTTATTTATAACGATAATTCAAAGCTAGAAATTGTCTGTTAAATACACCATTAAGTCACATTAATTGATAATTACTGCAGTAAAACTTTTTTCATTCTTTTGTTCTTTACCTCTAAATGTTTTGATAATTTCAAACTACTTATCACATTGATTTATTCATGTAAACTTTTTTTGGTGTCATGTTAGTAAATTTGTGTATGGATATTACAGCCAGCAGTGATAATAAAGTTACATAACAGGCAGCTGTGTGAAATTTGTTACTTTAGTCTTGTTTAATGAACGATTGTTACTTTAGTCTTGCTCTACGAACAAAATAACTGTTACAAGTAGTAATAAAGTAATTTATTGGATTACAGGCAGTAATGTTATGCTAACTAAGCATGTTAGATTGTAGGCAAAAATCAGATGAGTTAGGCTTGTTGGTTGAATGAAATAATTGATTACAGGTAGTAACTTAATGCTAATTTCTTTACGGCTACTTTTCTATGTCTTTTTTTTTTATTCTTGTTTTTTTTCATCATTTTTTTTGTCCTTTCTGTTGCTTTTTGTGTTTGGGCTATGTTTTTGTAATGAAATTTCATCCTCTCAGAATTACATGGTTCTAAGTGATGTTTTTGTGTAACTAAAGAAATATACTTTGGAAAATATAAGTTCTTGGAGTAAACTATAGTTTGACAAATATTCTCCTTTCTTTGCACTATGTTCCATCTATGATTTATTACATCAATATATTGCCAGGCTTTAAAAGGTCAAGCCTGTAAAGTGTGAGAAAATATATTATCCTACTTTTTAATTGTCAATAGAATTTCACTTTAAATTTTTAAAAAGGGTTTACTATTCTCTATACCTGTAAAGCTACTAAAGACAGATGAAAATGAAGGTTTTAGAGTAAAAAATTATTTAACTGTATAATAGATACTTATAAAAAATTGTGTAGAATTTTTTTTTTCTTTTTTCATATATTTTAAAACAGCTTTTACTTTTACATAATTTCATCACATCAGTGAGTTTCAAGAAATGTCTATAATTGTACTCTACCTAAAAGTCCCTTGAGTAATTTTGTTTTGAAGAATATGTTTTGATGATTTTCATATATCCTATACCTAATTTTTTGTTAGTTTATGAAAATGAAATACTAAACTTTTAAAACATGTATTTTAGATAAACTGTCCAATAATATTGGATTCCTTATAATTCCCAATCTTTACTGAAAGTTGGAATTTTTTTAAATTTCTGGTTTTCGCTATAGACAGGTGTGTGTGTTTGGGGGGGGGGGGGGGGCTGTGTTATTATAGTATATTACTGGAAGAATTAAAAATTAAACACTTAGAACCTTTGAAATGCTGGGGATCCAATATGTTGTTTATGTACTGCATTTGATTTTACCAACTTCAGTGACACCATGTTGTAGCTTTATATTTTGTAAGACTGAAGTTAACACTCAAAATGTTTTTAACGAGAACTGCTGTCTGCAGATAATTGCCAACTGTTTGTAAAAAATATCTGCAGGATAAATTTGTTAGTTACCTGTACAGAAACAGACAATATTTGGAAGGCAAAGGTCAGCAGTCATAGGTCAACTGCCAACCTATCTGACTAGCCACCTCTCCAACAATCCCATTAGCTTGTACAAATGTTTATGTTAAAACCACAGTTAGTGTCAACACTTTTAAAAACATTTTTTTGTGCTTTTTAAATTTTGTGTCCATATTTTTGCTAAATAAAAACATTACATTATTTCTTGTTTCATTTATTTGAAATGTTTAAAACAAAATAGTTTATATTGAGCACTCTGTGTAATGAACGATTTTTTGAAAAGGAATTCTCTATGCCTAGGTTATATGTAATGTTTACATTACATCTCTCCAGCGGTAGAGCTAGACTACTAAACCATAAGTCTTGAGTTCAAATCTCGATTCAAGTCAGTAGACTGTCCCTGAGTCCAACCAGCTCTGATGGGTACTAACTCACATTAGAGAAAGTAAAGGCGGCTGGGCATAGTGCTGACCACACTATCCCTTCATATGCAGAGGTCACAGAAAAAGGTGAACTGTACTTCACTTGCCCCATAGAGCTTCAGGTTTGGAAAGGGAACTTTACTTTTTTTTTTACATTTGTTTTACCACTAGGACATCATGTATCTTTAATAATTGTAATGAATAGTTATAAGTAAAAACAACTGCAGCAGTATTGGATAAGGTAATAACAAGTTTCACTTAGGTAGAACTAAAAAGGAAGGAATCACAATAATCACGTGTAACAAGGTGTACAGTTTTCTGTGGATTGATTGGAAAGTTCCAGTATCACAATTGGTTTCATCACAGCCAGATCAAGACAGTTTTAGTATGGTAATTTGTATAATAGTATATAGATGTTAGTATTAAACTCAAGAGATTTTCTAGTCAACAGCATTTTACTGAAGAAAAAAGAAATAACCAGTGCAACCAGTTGAGCTCAGGTATCGTCAAAACTTGCTATCAAGTATTTGTTGCCTATTCATGCTCTACACCCCCTCATACTTTTTAAATGATTAATTTCTAAAATAATATTAATGGGCAGTATCACCCTCACAATGCCAAAATTGTTTTTATACCAACACGTTGTTTAAAAACAATAATTATGAGCACACGTCTATAAAACAGTATGTAAAAAATTTAAAGTTATATGCGTGATGGAAACATTTGAAAAAAATTGACCCAATATTTTCCCCAAAAATTTGTCAAATGCTAGCTAACATAGATAGTAATAAAAGAACAGCATTGTGGTGAAATTTGAAAGTATTAGAAATTTTCAATTGTGACTTAACTCTGTAAATATAAAACAAGTTAATTAAAAAAGTCTAGTGACATTTATGCGCAATTTCCTTATGTTATCTAACAATAGCTCTGACGTATAATGCTGGGGTACGTTCAAGCTAGAAGAACGATCGGTTTGTAGGTGTTTATGTAATTTTAAAATTTGTGACCGAACGAGAGGATATTTTTGAAAACTTTCTTCGGCAATATTGTTCTAAATTATGGCAGGAATCGGTTGGTACATGTTTTAAGTCGCTAAGTGGTCTGGTTGCCGAGATATGGGCCAAAAACTGCATTTTTTCGAGGTTTTTTGGCTTTTCCTGGAAATACATGAAAGAAACCCGGAATTTGTATGGCCTATGCTCATTCTCGTAACTTGCTTAACATAATTGCTTTTGGAACTAGTCATCGATATTGCTTCGTTGAGGAGGAGATACGACTTAAAGCCCGGACACACATTCATCCATACATTCATTCATTCATTCATTCATTCATTCATTCATTCATCCATTCATCCATCCATTCCCAGAAATGACGAGTTAATAAACGCAATTCTCCAGAATGGAAATTGCGCTAAAAAGTAGTTCCAAATTTAAAAATAATCTTTAAAATTAAAATTTAATCACATTATAACGGCTTTTTGTCCCGGCAATGGGCTGTATTTCTCTGACAGCGCCGGTAGGTGGCGCCACAGAGATTTAGGTTCGCAACCTAGCGACGTGTGAAGCGTCCTTTTATTACTTTCTCGTATATACGAAGTATAGAGAAAGTATTGTAATCGTGCAAAAAAAAAAAAATCGAGATTTTTACAAATCTCGACGTTTTACACCTCCCTGATACGGAAAAACATAATTTTGCAATCTTGTCCGTATGTCTGTGTGTGTGTGTGTGTCTGTGTGTCTGTCCGTGTGTAAACACGATAACTTGAGTACCGTTACAGCTAGGTGGATGAAATTTCATATATAAGTATTTTATCAAAATCGTAGATCCGTATCAACTTTTGAGCGATTTCCGATAACCGGAAGTGGTACTTTTCCTACTTTGAATTTTTCAAAAGCCTATAACTTGAGTACTATTTCAGATAGATAAATGAAATTTCACATGTAAGTAAAAGATCTAATTCTCTACCTTCTGTTAAATTTTTAGTAATTTCCGTTGACTGGAAGTAGTACTTTACGCTACTTCCGATTTCTCAAAAAACTAATGTAAATTTTAAAAGTACTAATAATATTGCACACTATTATGCGCTTTTTTATTTGGCATTCACTTGGTGTGCAATTAATTTGTCTACGAGATTTTATTCTATTTTTAAAACTTTAAGTATTTAAAATGGATTAAAAATCATGTCTATAGCCCGAGTTCCCATCCCCTGTTATTTTATATAAGAATATTCGAGAAAGTTTAGGGGAGATCACTCCCGGTTTATATTTTCTTAATGCGATAACACGAAAGATGAGAAAGTCAACTTCGGGAATATGAATTAACGTCAACTTAAAGAAGAATGTCGAAGAAGAGGAGCAAAAATACTTAAATTAGAAAGCTATTTGCAAAATTATGAGTTCATTGGTTAATATTTGTTCATGTAAGAATAACAAATTATAGGCCTATATAAAATGTGTTCCAATTATTTAAATAATTTTTTCTTTCATTCGTGCATTTATATGCTGTTGTAATTATAATAATATGCTTGTAATTACCACTGTAAACATTGTTTTAATGAAGTTTCTGGTTATGCCCCTTTATCTTGGTGATTGGCACTCTCCTATTGAATCATTTCCCTTATTAAGGTTATAAACAAATAATTTTTAAAAAAATCGACTATCATCTTCCTCTAGTTCGGCGCTCGGCTGTGAAATCATACGCGATAACCATTCCACATCAGCAGTTTTTCTTCTTCCAGACTTTTTTATCTATAAAATTCGACTATAAACAAAGCCACCCACCCACAAACCCATACACATTATGATCTAAAAGTGTAACTTCTGCTTTGTCTATAATAGTTCTCACACTTGCTGATCATAGTGCAACCAAGTCGATGATGTTGATGATGAATCAAAATAGTTACACCTGGTATAATTTTTTTTGTCCGACAAAAGTTTAGAATAGAAATGTTGCCAAAACTTGAGGTTACATTTTTATTAGCAGTAATTTAAAATAAAAAGTATTAAACAGTTTCAATTTCTCCATAAAAATGCTTTTGTTTGGGAGATGTAACACCTGTTAACTTCACGGAAAAGTATTTTCTAAATCATGGCGATATCAGTTACATATTGATTTTCAGTTTACAAAATAACTCTTTAAAAATGTTAAATAGCTTCTTACAGTCAGCTTAGAATTTTGTTTTAAATGCTAAAGGTAGACTTCACTTTCTCGCTTCCCTACCCCTCGTCAGTGACGTCACACGGTTCAAAATCTCTCCTCCAACTAGCGTGGCGTCATTCATAGACGGCTTCTAACAAACCAAAGTCAATGGATCGTTAAAAAATCACCAATCTTAACTCAAAGATAACACCATAAACTCTTTTGACACCAAACTACACCCAGTTAAGATTTTTTTTTGTTATCGGTCAGTTTTTCATTTATAACACATTTCTAGTATACAGTTGTTCGAGGGGTCTCTCTGTTATACCGAAATGGATGTGCTGAGATTTCAAACTGCCTGTGTTGTCGTGATGTAACTGATGACCAGCAGAGGTGGACTGGCTTTGTCCGGGAATATTCAAAAAGGGGTCCCCGACCCCAGATTGAGATTTTCAGGATTTTAAGTGTGCATTTTTGTCTCCATCAAAGCCTGAATTTTACGCCTTGGTTTGAAGGAATGGTAAAAAAAAAATGAAAAAAAACAACAACAACAACAACGACTAGGACTATAGGGCTTGTAAGTAGGTCACAACTTTTCGTTCTCGTACTTGCCAGCTAGTAGATTTCGAGACTGTAGACTTACAAGCCCTATAACACAAGCACCATTACTGGAGCTCACCGGGATTTTTTTTTCTGTAGATCGGCGGGTCAGTCAACACTGAAGACCAGTTCTCACTATTAAAAGTCTAGGCGAAAGTAACTTAAACTTAGAAGAATTTGAATATATCAACTGGTGGTGCTTATTTCGGCAAACGATAGAGGAAATACCCATAGCGCTTTTAGACCATCTCACATCCCGTTGAGATTATACTTATCCTCCTCCATTTGAGAGTAAATTCTAAACACTGTGTTTACTTCCTAGACAGGATGAGATAGGATTTTGATATGTAGTTTGACGAAACTGTCTGAGAAAAACCCACTAAAAACACTTCTAAAAATAAAATAAAAATTATACAAATCATTTCTACAGTAGCCTACGTGTCTGATGTCTTGAGGTTCAGTTCCTTGTTGAGAATGTCCGTGACAACCTCTTCTTGAGCTACAACAACGTCAATACATACACCGGAAGCAAGCACAGACGGTTACCTACATAGCTACTGGCAACATAACCTAACTATAACACAACAGTATATCTTTTGGCAGATCGATCTTTGTCTACTGAAAGCATTAAACGGCTAATTCCGGAACTTCGCATTGCTTAAAAATAGATCTAGATTTCCATTAAATACATTCATCAGTTCTATTTTGACGAACATGACGCAATGAAGTCAGCATTAAAAATAGAATACATCGATATTTACCTATTCATTTCTCAGAAAATATCAAATGGCTTTGTTGCATTAAAAATTTTAGATGTTGAATATTTTCACTTATTCATATACTGTATTAACGCAGGTCTAGAAAATTAATGTTCTGAAACATCTTTGGCTCCCATACATTTCTTACATTCTGATAGCTACTAGGGTAAGGGACATTTATATTAATGGCTATCTAATGTATATTTTAAAGTAGGCTACACGTATGTCTATTTCATGTCTGCGTTTTTCACTTTTTCATAAACTAGTAAAATAAAATAAAATTTATGTAACATAATAACTGATACGTAAATTGTTTTACAATTTTGTGTTGAAATTTTGTTACATTATGTAATATGGGGTGTGGAGTGATATGGAACAGTGCGGTATAGTTTTCCATATTCTTCATTTATTCTTCATTATGGTTGGGTGAACAACGTACACTTCAAACAGCGACACATTTTTCTTTTAAATATTTATTAAACGCTTCTAATTATTTTAAATGACGATACATTCGTATCTTTTTTCTCTAAAATGATTTTAATTATTACAGTACACTAGCAGAGTGGCGCTAGCACGTCTCTTGTGTATGAGTCGCATTGGTGTAACCCATTTGTATTTTTTGATTGGGAAACAAACTTACAAACTAAACCCGTGATTCAATTAATCAAATTCAGAATCATAATAACCTCTTATGAATAATAAATAAAGAAATTATTAAACCAAACGCCAAAAAAATACTGTAACTGTTTCTTGCTCTCACTTTCAGCTACAGACGATAAAAAAATGATGAAGAATAAGTCGTCTTGTGTAAATCTTTATTTGACTATCTTTCTTGACCGCAATTGTCTGTGTATAGCGCGCATCTAAAAGACTATAGCGCCAAACACGTGTGCTGCATAAATTAGTGGCGAGGGCCGTCGTTTCTCCATCCCCTCTAAGGCTAACCCGCTGGTTTATATACACCACCCGCGAGCGTCTCGGATGACACCCTACCCTCGGCGCAAATTCTAGCGCTAACCTGTGAAAATTTCCCCTGGTTTGTGCTAACCTACCCCAAATAACTCTATATACAAACTTATAAAACACAAAATTTGTATTATTTATCATACTTTCCGTAACTGTAAATTAAAATCTTGATAATTAATTTACATCCTAATTTAACCTGTTCCAAAGTTACAAAATAGAAACAGTTATATCATTAAAGATATAACCGAAAGCTAATCTAATATATCAAGTTCAATTCTGTATGTTTGTATGTTTGTAAAATGTTTGTCGTGGATTACAAAGAAATATAGAAAAAACGAAAAAAAAAAATACTTCCATGGATTCAAGTGTTAGATTATTAAAGTGTTCATGGTCTAAATTTTTGAGTTAAAAAATTAATATTGAAAGTCATTAAAAACAATATTCATTTTACATACTTAGAATAATAATTTTCAATTATAAACATTACATAAAAATTAAAAAAAAGTATATCAACGTTTATAAAATTTCTAAAGTTGTGTCTGAAATGTATTTGCATTTTGTCCTTTAGCTCTCATTTAGCTCTCATTACGTCCCTTGATTGGGAAAACACAATTACTTCCATTTTAAATAACCCATTAAATCGGGGAGAAAGAATTTACTTTTTATTACTTTGTATAATAAATAATAATTACATAATTAGCGGGGATTGATTAAGTGCAATGTCGTTGGTATTTTTAATACTGCCTTTTATTTATTCTATACACTGAACGTACTGTTTACTAAATTTTAAAAAATCAATAACAGTTAATAAGCCAGGTCCTACAAATCCTATATCTTTATTTCTTTCCATTTACGGATAAGCTTGGAGTATCATAATTTTGTTCACTAAATTTAAACACGCGCGTCCACCGGCGCCCCGGCACGGTTTGATTTGGCGCCCTGGGATATCATGTGAGCGCGATGTTGCATAATTTCGTTTTAAATAGTGCGATAGACTATGGATAAGAAAGGTTACTATAGTCTTTAAGTGAATCAAGTCCGGGCGTCCTCCGGCACCCCGACAGGGTGCTATTTGGCACCCCGGGCCTTCCCGTACGTTCGCGTAAGTGCGTTCAAAAGACTAAGAATAAGTTGGGTACTATAGTCGTTTACTAAGTTGAATCAGGCGGTTACGCCGCACGTCGTCATGGTGCGATTTGGCGCCCCGGGCTAGACTGTGGACACTTTGAGTTTATCTTTGCGTTTGTGTTTTCTGTGTGTTTGAGTTTGGGTTTGCGTTTGTGGTTGTGTTTACGTTTGGATTTGGGTTTGAGTTTGTTTTCGTTTGCTTTTTTTTCTTTGCGTTTGTGTTTTCGTTTGCTTTTTTCTTTGCGTTTGTGTTTTCTCTGAGTTTGTAGTTGTGTTTGTGTTTGCGTTTGTTTTTGTGTTTTCGTTTGTGTTTGTATTTGTGTTTGTGTTATGTTTGCGTTGTTTTATTTTGGTGTGTTTTGGTTTTGTTTGGTTGTGGTTGGGTTTGTGTTTGCGCTTGGATTTGTTTTCGTTTGCTTTCTTGTTTGCGTTTGTGTTTTCTTTGTGTTTGTGGTTAGGTTTGTCTTTGCGTTTGTTTTTGTGTTTTCGTTTGTGTTTGTTTTGTGTTAGTAATATGTTTGCGTTTTTGTGTGTGTTTTGGTTGGTTGTGGTTAGGGTGGGCAATGCCGGGTAAATGCTGATTACTAAACACACAAGTTATGGTCCTTTACAGATACGTTTTTCAGAGATGCCAGTGCAGGGCCTGGCCGGGACGGCTAGTAATGCATTAAAACTCCATTATTTTATTATTTTATAGGTCTAGGTTTTTAATCTAGAAGCGAGTTTCACGATTACAATACTTTCTCTATACTCCGTAAACGAGAAAGTAAATAAATCGAGATTTTTGCAAATCTCGACTTTTTACACCTCCCTGAGTGAGAAAAACAAAGTTTTGCAATCTTGTCCGTATGTCTGTATGTGTGTGTGTGTGTGTGTGTGTGTGTGTGTGTGTGTGTCTGTCTCTCTGTGCGTGACTGTGTCTGTGTGTTTGTGAACACAATAACTTGAGTACCGTTACAGTTAGGTTGATAAAATTTCATATATAAGTAATATATCAAATTTTTAGATCTGTTTCAGTTTTTCAGCGATTTCCGATATCCGTAAGTAGGACTTTTTCTACTTTCAATTTTTCAAAAGCCTAGAACTTGAGTACCATTTCAGATAGATGAATGAAATTTCACATGTAAGTAAAAGATCTAATTATTTGCCTTATATCATCAAATTTTGAGTAATTTCCCTTGACCGGGAGTAGATTTTTTACGCTATATCCGATTTCTCAAAAAAAAAAAAAAATAAAAACAAAAAAAACGCATGTAAATTTATAAAGTACTAATAATATTCCACACTATCATACACATATTGTTTGGCGTTTACCTGGTTTGCAATTCTTTATTCTATGAGATTCTGTTCTATTTTAAAAGTTTAAGTAATTAAACATGGATTTAAAATGATGTCTATATCCCGAGTTGCCATCCACCATAATATAATACTATTCAAGAAAGTTTAGGGGAGATCACTCCCGGTTTATTTTAAGTGAAGGTAGATATAAACAAAAACAAGTTAATTAAAAAGTCTAGTGATTATTTTAGCGCAATTTCCTTATGTTATCTAAAAAGGCTACAGGACATTACCCCCCTGGAAATTACCCCCCGGACATTTCCCCCCCCGTATTTACCCCCCGGAGCAATTACCCCCCTGTCAATTACCCCCCCCCGGGGAATTACCCCCCCCCCCCCCCCCTCTCAAGTTAGAATCCTAACTCTAACTGGAATTCTATACCTATATACTACTTTAATCCAAACCTTAAGAAAAAGACCAAAACCTAAACATCCACCTTAGCCTAAAACTTTACACAAAACCAAAACCAACGCTAGTCATTGGTTTAAACTTAACCCTAACCCTAGCTCTAACCCTCTCTAACTCTAGCCCTAACCCTAACCCTAACCCTAACCCTAACCCTAACCCTAACCCTAGCCCTAGCCCTAGCCCTAGCCCTAGCCCTAGCCCTAGCCCTAGCCCTAGCCCTAGCCCTAGCCCTAGCCCTAGCCCTAGCCCTAGCCCTAGCCCTAGCCCTAGCCCTAGCCCTAGCCCTAGCCCTAACCCTAACCCTAACCCTAACCCTAACCCTAACCCTAACCCTAACCCTAGCCCTAGCCCTAGCCCTAACCCTAACCCTAGCCCTAACTCTAACCCTAACCCTAACCCTAACCCTAACCCTAACCCTAAACCTAAACCTAGCTCTATCCCTATCCCTATCCCTATCCCTATCCCTATCCCTATCCCTATCCCTATCCCTATCCCTATCCCTATCCCTATCCCTATCCCTATCCCTATCCCTATCCCTATCCCTATCCCTATCCCTATCCCTATCCCTATCCCTATCCCTATCCCTATCCCTATCCCTATCCCTATCCCTATCCCTATCCCTATCCCTATCCCTATCCCTATCCCTATCCCTATCCCTATCCCTATCCCTATCCCTATCCCTATCCCTATCCCTATCCCTATCCCTATCCCTATCCCTATCCCTATCCCTATCCCTATCCCTATCCCTATCCCTATCCCTATCCCTATCCCTATCCCTATCCCTATCCCTATCCCTATCCCTATCCCTATCCCTATCCCTATCCCTATCCCTATCCCTATCCCTAACCCTAACCCTAACCCTAACCCTAACCCTAACCCTAACCCTAACCCTAACTCTAACCCTGTCCGGAGGGGGGGGGTAATGTCCTACTGGGCGGGGGGTAATTGACTGGGGGGTAATTGACAGGGGGGTAATTACTCCGGGGGGTAATGTCGGGGGGGGGGGGAAATGTCCGGGGGGTAATTGACAGGGGGGAAATGCCCTGTTCCCATCTAAAAATAGCTCTGTCGTAGCGTAAATCAAGAGCAGGGTTAGTAAAATCATTAGTTAGTTATTAAAAAGTTTTTTATTAAATTTCTTTTTTCAGTATTTTCCATGTTTTATTTACAATAGAGTTACATGACTAAAAAAAATTCATAAAAAACGTTTTAATAACAAGCTTTTATGTAATGATGCACTAAAAAGTAGAAAATAAATTATAGACTCTTATTTAAATAACTATAAAGAAAAGCGTGGGTCACTTTAGTATCTATTGGATACCTTTACTAATGTTAAGGAAGACACCCACGCTTTTCTTTATAGTTATTTAAATAAGAGTCTATAATTTATTTTCTACTTTTTAGTGCATCATTACATAAAAGCTTGTTATTAAAACGTTTTTTATGAATTTTTTTTCAGTACTTTACATGTTTTATTTACAATAGAGTTACATGACTAAAAACCATTGCGCGCCTACTGAACATCACGTTCAGTAGGCGCGCAATGGTTTTTGAACGCAGCCATTACGTGATGGCGCAGCTATTGAAGGTGATGACGCGTGTGGTGTGGTTGGCTAGACATGCCTACTAATTCGGTCCAAATTTTTATTAATTCATATAAAATTAATTAGGCATCCGATTAAGTCAAATTTAGTTTCAGATTGCATTGTCTTCATGTCTTGACCCACGTGCCAACTGTGAATCGTATCGGTCAAGTAGAACTGTCCGAATTTTCACTCCTGCGTTTCCGTCTAGACAGACAGACCGACGAGGAAGTGAGTTAAATAAAAGCTTGTAAAAACCATTGCGCGCCTAGCTACCGAACGTGATGTCGCAGCCATTGAACGTGATGGCGCAGCTATTGAACGTGATGACGCGTGTGGTGTGGTTGGATAAAAATGCCTACTAATTCGGTCCAAATTTTAATTTATTAAAAAAAATGTTGTGACCGAACGAAAGGATATTTTTGAAAACTTTCTTCGGCAATATTGTTCTAAATTATGGCAGGAATCGATTGGTACATGTTTCAAGTCGCTAAGTGGTCTGGTTGCCGAGATATGGGCCAAAAACTGCATTTTTTCGAGGTTTTTTGGCTTTTCCAGGAAATCCATGAAAAAAACCCGAATTTTTTTGGCCAATGTTCATCCTCGTAACTTGCTTAACATAATTGCTTTTGGAACTAGTCCTCGATATTGCTTCGTTGAGGAGGAGATACGACTTAAAGCTGCGGACACACATACATCCATGTGAGCGGGTGAATGGATTATTTATTTTGTATTAATATATTTGTTGCGAATCTGGGAGTGCATGGTGGTCCAATGGGGAACGGCACGGAGTCCCCTTCCGTCCGAAGCGGACAGTATAAATTAACCGGTCGGACGATTTTCTCCCTCTTTTTGACCCACGGCGAGATGTAGGTCGGGTCAGGTTTCTGCGTGGGCGCACCTCACGCGTGGAGTGAGGTTGCTTGGGCAACTTGGCTGGGTGTTTTGTTATATATGAATTGTCTTGTATATATTGTTTTGTACGTAATGTCCTCTACGTAATGTATTGTACGTAGTGGTTGTACGTTGTGTTTTGTTTGGTGTGGACTTTTGGATGTCGAGAATGGATGAAGGGAGGTTTCTGTGTGTCAGGGCCTGGACCATCCTAGACATCATAAGTCGGCGCAACACCAGCAAATGGTCAAACGTAATGTTGTGTTTGATGTAAAAAGTTTGTTTCGTTTGGTTCTGTTTTGTGTCAGTTTATATCTATTCTTTTTTTATAACTTTTGGTTCCATGCAATAAATTTTATTAAATTGTTAAAAGTTTTTGTTTTATTTAGTAGCTTATTATTTAGACTAAGGTTAGGGTTTAACCACTGTGGGTTCTACCACGGTTGCACTGACCGGACAGATTAGTTAGTTAAGCCTAGAAGGGTAGATTGTAGGTATCCCCCCCCCTAGCAGGGCTTACATCCATACATTCATTCATCCATCCATTCCCAGAAATGACGAGTTAATAAACGCAATTCTCCAGAATGGAAATTGCGCTAAATACCGAAAAAATATTATTTATATACATATACTAGGCATACTGCCTAGCATTGAGATTTAAAAGATTTATTGATAGTTGATTGGCTGTTTTTTTTTACTTTCTCGTATATACGAAGTATAGAGAAAGTATTGTAATCGTGCACAAAAATCAATTGAAATTTTAACCATTTTCACCGTATTACACCTCAGTCCTTCATCACATCCGAAGTATAGAGGACTTATTTTAATCGGGCAAAAATTATCAATCCAGATTTATCAAAATTAAGAGGTTTTATGCGTAATCCAGTCTGAAAAACTGGGCTTTGCAATTCTGTCCGTATGTCTGTGTGTCTGTCTGTGTGTCTGTCTGTGTGTCTGTCTGTCTGTCCGTGTGTAAACACGATAACTTGAGTACCGTTAGAGCTAGGTTGATGAAATTTCATATATAAGTATTTTATCAAAATCGTAGATCCGTATCAACTTTTGAGCGATTTCCGATAACCGGAAGTGGTACTTTTTCTACTTTAAATTTTTCAAAAACCTATAACTTGAGTACTATTTCAGATAGATAAATGAAATTTCACATGTAAGTAAAAGATCTATTTCTCTACCTTCTGTTAAATTTTGAGTAATTTCCGTTGACCGGAAGTAGTAATTTACGCTACTTCCGATTTCTCAAAAAACTAATGTAAATTTTTAAAGAACTAATAATATTGCGCACTATTATGCACTTTTTTATTTGGCGTTCACTTGGTGTGCAATTATTTTGTCTACGAGATTTTATTCTATTTCTAAAACTTTAAGTATTTAAAATAGATTAAAAATCATGTCTATAGCCCGAGTTCCCATCCCTTGTTATTTTATATAAGAATATTCGAGAAAGTTTAGGGGAGATCACTCCTGGTTTATTTTAATTTCATTTAAAGTGCAAAAAATGTAGACATACTAACATTATAAAAAACGATTACAGATTGTAGTTATTTTTCATTTTAAAAATCTTTTTACAGAGAAAAACATAGGACGTGGAAGTGGACGTCATTTACTGAAGAAAATTTAAACAAAAAAAAAACCCTGTGAGGCAGTAATTATGGGTCTTGATAAAATAAAATTTCGTAGCTGAATTGATTTTATTATCTGGTACACTCAAACACAAAACCCAGCAAAATGTTTGAGGAGTTCTACTATGATCTGATGTCGGTTCTCGCCTCTTTCAGAAAAATTAAAATGGAGGACAACAGTCCAATATCGATACTAAAATTAGCAGATTTTGGGTTTAGATACACTGGAGAGAGGTGTGTTGTTGAATGTCAAAGTTGCCGTAAAACATCAGACATCACTTCGTTCAAATACGACAAAAGCATGCTGGACCCTAGACTTAGACAGTTTCACGAAGACACGTGCGAGATAGCGCGAGATTCTCAGGACATTGAGACAGAGTGGGAAGTAAAGGAGAGTAAGATATCCATCAAAAGTATCACAATTTTGATACGATTCCCGTCACTACACAAACCTAATAGAACCTCAGACAATAGTATCGTCATTATAATGCAGTTTTCACAGAAAGTAGGAGCAGGACTTTCCAAAAATCCAGAAATGTATTCAGACAAAAAGCATTCGCTCGATGAAAAAAGTAAAGAATTTAAACAAAACAGAAAAATCTCGAACGTGAAATCACCCAATCACACTGGTCAACAAGAGCCAAACAAACCAAACAAAACGCCATGTAAGTAGAGGTAGTCTATTTTTGTTTGTTGACGTTTTTGTTAATACTCAAAGCACAATTTATTAAATAATTATTTATTTCAATATGTTCTCAAAACGATATTTAAATGAAACATGTACACTGGAGAATAGGCTTATCTTTTACACAGCCGGGTAGTGTAACAAGGGTGGTGTGGTTGATGCTGAACGCAAGTCACCAGTCACATCTTTGGTAATGGCTGACACCAAAATAATCATTTCCCCCTCGTTTGATTTGAGGGCATCAACAGCAAACCCTCACCAAGAAATATAAACTCTGCTACCCTTTAGCCATAGCTGCTTGCTGGTTTGATTGAATTATTTGTATTCACCTCGGATAAAGCGTTTAAACTATCAAACATTAACATGATCCTAATTAATGCAGATGAAACTACCACGGAAGAAGTGTATCATTATGCCCATAATTAATAATAATGTACCGAACCCATACATCAAAATTTCAATTATCATTATATCAAAGGAACCACACAAGCGGAACGACAGTAACCAATGACGACCTTACAACAGCTCTAGAATAAATTTTCTTTATTGCACCATACGAGAGAAGGCTATTCAAATTAATGCAATTGTTTCTTTCAAAGAACGCGGAGAATAATACATACAAAAGACTGTTTTAATTAGATTTTTTTAAATGAGTGTCTTCCGTAAGAGTAAAACGGGGCTTGCTAACGTAGCTTGTATTTAGAGCCAGGTATTTCGTCAGCGGTTCCCAACCCTGAAATAGTTCTAGTGGAAGCGCGAAACAATTCACAGACATTCATAATCTAGTCCAAGACATCGAGATGCTTGTTGGCACAAACTCTTCTCTTAGTATGCACACATCTTACGCTAATATTTAAAAAAATTGTAATAACTATCGTTATCTTTCTTGTACCCCCCCCCGTCTGGCTGCAGCCTGGCCAAATGTCTTCAATCCGCCACTGTTTGATTCAAGAACCTAAAACAACTTTCGATATCTTGACGCTACTTGTATCTTCCCTGTAAAGGTAAACAAGAGACGAGACGGCCTAAGAGCCTGAAGCTGACACTGTTGCAGCAAGAAAACACAAAACTCGCTCATCAGCTGATGTGTAAGGTGTGCAGGAGTGAGCCGGTGAGGGACTTGTTCCTGCCTTGTGGGCACCTGTACGCCTGCAGTCAGTGCTCACAGACTTTGTCATTATGTCCTGCCTGTGGTCGCCCGATCCTAGCCACGGTGACGACGTTTTTTACTTAAGCAACAAGAACGTTGTCGTACACCATTGATCATATCGTTTAGTGTAATAAGTTGATGATTATTTCGACTAATAATTATTTAAAAAAATAAATGGATAAAAAGAAAGCACATGTTTAAAAAACCTAGTAAATACAATATATTATGTAATTTTTTAACACAATAAGCTATTGAAACTGAATTTAAGTTAATCAACATAAATCAAGGTAAAGACGGTGCACTTAATATATAATACAAAAACAAGACATTTTTACACCCCCAACCAATATTTTTTTCAGGTATCTCTCAACGGGGGTCACTACCTCCCCCCCGGACCTTGCCCACCACCCCCATACCATTACACAACGTTATCTAACCAGTAAACGCTAACTGACTATTAACTCACCATTATAATGTTAGTACTAGACATTTTTTTTTCAAAAGCAGTTGAGCTACAAACTTTACAATTTTGGCAAATTAAATTCCCCCCCCCCCCATCACTTCTCTATAGAAACACATGTAAATCTTATTGTGTTTAAGGAATGATGGACATGTATCATCAGCATGTCTAATTTGTTTCTGTTTATTTTAGCAACAGCTTTGGCACACTGTTTCATGTGCGTCTAAACAACACTAGTCAATGTATCGATGTTAACAGTATTTATATACATGTCGTAAAATATGTAAGAGATCTCATGAGCGACCAAAGTTTTTATTAAAAAGAGCAACTTTGTTTTATTTTGTTTATTTCAGTGCTTGTTAATAAATGTTTTTATATTTGTTTTTTTTTTCAGTGCTTGTTAATAAATGTTTTTATATTTGTGTTATTTTTTTTTCAGTGCTTGTTAATAAATGTTTTTATATTTGTTTTATCTTCTGCTTTTCAAAAATTCTTTCTAAATAAAGTTGATAATAGATCTGTATAGGCTTCGACTAAAAATGCTTGTGTTAAAACCAGAATACTAACTGACAATCTCTAAAATACAGATGTCTGTCAACGCTCATCAAGTAATCCGCCAACCGTGACAACAGTTCACCATATATCGAGAACTGATGGCGCGATTTTTAATCTTGTTATCTCCTCTTTTGTTATTGGATATAATTAAAACCCGACCAGTAGATTGCGATCTCTAAAAGACAGCTGTCTCCCCTTTCTACTTGGTTGACACTCGGGCAACCAACAGTGACCAAACAACATTCAGCGTTAGTCACATCTCAGCTCATCGGGTAATCGCGTCAAGCTAGTCATCTCCCCTTCTGTTATAGAATGTAACAACCAATGGAGTAATCGGTAGCATTTTTTTGGTCCTGTTATCTCCCTTTAGTTTCGAACCCGTTTAATTAGATTTTAATGTCTAATCCAATGTCTAATTAGATAAGGGAATGCATTACCTTCGAAGAAGGTGTATTGAAAATTTGAACGAAATCGCTGCATAAGTAAACATAGTTTCTTCCAGGCATCTCTTCGGGGGGGGGGGGGGGCGAAGCCCCACCCGAAATTTTTTTACCGCCCCCCCCCCCGAACAAAGTGAAATTTATATAATTTATATAGAAAATATATACTTTTAGCAGTGTCCGCCCCCCCCCCCCCCGAAGAAAGTTTACCGCCCCCCCCGAAGATTTCAAGTGCCCCCCCCGGAGAAAAAAGTCTGGAAGAAACACTGTAAGTAAACTTTGCAAAAACCCCACAAACAAGCAAATGGACGTTACGAGCTAAACAAAAGGTTGTAAAATGCATAAATAATATGTATGGTTACAATATTGACTTTACCTAGCTGGTACGGATGGGTTAGAACTAGGCCATGTTTGATCATTTTAGTAATGCAAGAACAAGTCACTTGCGTCTACTGAATAGTTTCAAACTTAAAATAAACCGGGAGTGATCTTCCCTAAACTTTCTCGAATATTCTTATATGAAACAACAGGGGATTGCAACTCGGGATATAGACATGATTTTTTATCCATTTTAAATACTTAAACTTTTTAAAATAGAATAAAATCTCGTAGAAAATGAATTGCACACCAAGAGAACGCCAAATAAAATATGCATAAGAGTGCGGAATATTATTAGTACTTTATAAATTCACATGTGTTTTTTGAGAAATCGGAAATAGCGAAAATTACTACTTCCGGTCAACGGAAATTACTCAAAATTTAACAGAAGGTAGAGAATTAGATCTTTTACTTACATGTGAAATTTCATTTATCTATGTGAAATCAGAGGCGTAGCGACCCGGCGTCCGGGGACAAACTTTTCGATTTGCACCCCCTTAAGATTTTCATTTACACCCCCCCCCCCCCCCCCTCAAACTTTCAATTTGCACCCCCCTCAACCTTTCAATTTATTTTTCTAACCCATATGTCCCCCGCCCCCCCCCCCCCCCTCGCTACGCTACTGTGTGAAATAGTACTCTAGTTATAGGCTTTTGAACAATTCAAAGTAGAAAAAGTCCCACTTTCGGTTATTGGAAATCGCTCAAAAGTTGAGGCGGATCTACGATTTTGATAAAATACTTATATAAGAAATTTCATCTACCTACTCAAGTTATCGGGTTTACAGACACACAGACACACAGACACACCCAGACATACGGACAAGATTACAAAACTTTGTTTTTCCGACTCAGGGAGCTGTAAAACATCGAGATTTACAAAAATCTTGATTTTTTTGGGACGATTACAAGACTTTCTCTATACTGCGTATATACGTTAAAGTAAAAAGAATTCTTTCCACCAAGACATTTCAGCTTTTTGTACCATGTCTACTATATCAGTATGCTTTTTAGTACAGTCCAGTTACGGTAAACACCAGTTATTTATTTTTTATAATCTTAGTATACTTCAGTTTAAATGATAAGAAACTCAAGGAACATTTTTTTTGTAGCGGGTTTCTTTTTATCAAATACACATTAAAATAATATTAAATATAAACTTGTCTTTGGTGACAGTTATGGGTCATGTATTATTGAAATGTTTGGCAATAAACATTACAGTATTGGGTTTTTCTATGAAAGATAGTGTAAAAATTGCATGAGAACTCCTAGTTGGCACGATAATAAAAAGTGTATTGGCGTTTTGCCAAGTAACACAAAGACAACTAAAATAAAAAAAGTTTTTTGTACGCTAAAGGAAGGGTGGAGGAAGCAGGGTGAAGTTATTCTATATTATTCTATACTTCTATAGAATAGGAATGGGGGGGGGGAGTTGTTGAAGCTGGACCCAACTGGTGCCAAGTACAGACACTAATAAAGTACTTTACATGTCTTTTAAAAAGAACTTGTTCCTCTCGTTTTCTGGTCCCTCTACTCTGGCGTCGCACGGAGGAGCAGGGGAGCAGCTACTCCCACTGTAAGCGATCTCAAGACTTTGGATCCTATTTTGGAGATTTATTTAAAATTAAAACAGCTGGAATATCAGTGGGGTATTATATATCTTTTAGTCTCTTTAACAGTTGGAACTAGTTCTATCTTGCTAGTTTAAATCGTTTGTTTTTGCTGGTTATTTTTTCACATATCCAGTCCTTTGCCCCGGAGAAAGATGTAGCCGGAGTAGATGTGCTTGAGGGTGGAGCAGAGGGATGGATTTCGCCTCAGAAATTATTTTCAGTACAATAGTGCATTTTTCGAAAAATAAATTTTATAATTTAAATAAATAAAGCGGGAGTGATCTCCCCTAAACTTTCTCGAATATTCTCCGGGGGATGGCAACTAGGGATATAGACATGATTTTTAATCCATTTTTAATTAAACATTTTAAAATAGAATAGAATCTCATTAAAAAAATAATTGCGTGCCAAGTGAATGTCAAACAATATGTCAAACATATGCGGTTTTTAAGAAATCGGAAATAACGTACATTACTACTTCCAGTCAACGGAAATTACTCAAAATTTGAGAGAAGGTAGAAAATTAGATCTTTTACTTTTATATGACATTTCATTCATATATCCTAAACAGTTCTCAAGTTGTATAGGCTTTTGAAAAATTGAAAGTAGAATAAGCTCCACTTTCGGTTATCGGAAATTGCTGAAAAGTTGATACAGACCTTACTATAAATTTGATATAATACATGTATGTACATTTTCATCAACCTAGCTGTAACGGTACTCAAGTTATCGTTTTTACAGACATACACACATACACACACAGACATATGGACAGAATTGCAAAGCCCAGTTTTCCTGACTAGATTACGCGTAGATAATTTTGATAAATCTGGATCAATTATTTTTGCCCGATTAAAATAAGTCCCCTATACCCCTTACATGATGAAAAATTGAGGTGTAAAACGATGAAAACTGTCAAAATTTCATGTGATTACTGTGCACGATAACAGTACTTCCTCTATACTCTGTATAAAGTAAAAAGAACTAAAAGACGCCTTATTGAGGGCGGCGTACGTAAATGTCTGTTGGTTTATGAAGGCGCCTGTCTGTCTTGTGTAGTTAGCCTTCTTCAATGTTGCCTTACGACATCGCCTATTTGGTGTTCAGTGTCATTAAAGCTATAGCCGAAAGCAGTGGCGTAGGCAGGGAGGGGGGATTCCTCTGTAGATTTTTGTTACTGTCATAATACCACTGTTACTTACTTTAATCTATTTCTGAATCAGTATATGTGCATAATTGTATATGTGTGTTTAGAACCGTCATCTAAAAACTGACGCTTTGTTCACTCTGAGTTGGTTTCTCCCCCCCCCCCCCACCCCACAACTTCACCACATAAAATGGGACACAACATTAATGCCACACTTAGGTATACGCTGGGTAGGATAATTGACCTAAAGTGACCGGACAGCAGTGAATGAAGTTGAACCCCCGCCTCCCAACCCACCCCAAACTGATCTGTTAAGTACATTTGGGAAAACGCGTAGTGAGGTACCAAAGTATCATGCCGCCAGAATCATAGCTTTTGAAACGTAAAACTCTGTAAATATTGTTTTTACAGTTACAAGTAAAGAGCTGTGTGATCAATAAAGTGATCTAACCCATACCTTATCATTATGTTAAAAAATGATCTTTAAAGAACACAAAAAACAATAGCTAATTAAAAAATGTATAATATGAACTGTAAGTCCAATGTTTTAGTTACATGTAGGTTATTATTAGAACGTTCCATTTAGTAGATTTAGTTTTAATATGTAATTGAAAAGCATGGTTTTATACCAACTCTGATTAAAAAAAAACTTACATTATGCTGTAAGATTTTAGCATTTGTGATGACAATATATTTAATTCTGATTGTAGACAACATATTTTTGTAAAAACGAATAAAATTAAGCTTCTATACTACATACTAAAGCAGTTATTGATCTGTTTTGGCATTTACAATTAAATTTGTAGAAATATACATATTTATATTAAGAGAGTGATTATTTCACCTAGTTCGTTTAATATTCTAGGGTGTGTTGCGTTTATTGTTTTTGGTTGTATTGTGGGTATATTTTTTGTTTGTTTTTGTTTAGAGTGACAAATTGTTTTGTTTTGTCGGCCTGCATTTTGTGTTTTTTTCTTATATATATATATATATATATATATATATATATATATATATATATATATATATATATATATATATATATATATATAATGATGGAAAAAATTTGAACCCTCCCCCATGAGACAATCCTGGCTACGCCACTGGTCGAAAGGTAAAAAACGCTTTAAAACGCTTGAATGGTTTAGTGTTTATTGGGAATTCCCCTTCCTTGACGTGGCGCTATATTTAAAAAAAAATACCACGTAATATTCCACGTAATATTCTATTTTTATACGAGACTCAGCCTGAATCAGCCATAACACGTGTTCAGTGTTTATCGGTAAAGGACCTTGGTAACGTGCCAAGCTGTCACTCTAGTAGATTAGCAATCTAGGGGTCATGCAGTATTAAAAAATATAGATCGATTAACTGATTACTTTGTACTATAATTACAATCAGTGGTTCTGTCTTATAAAAAAACAATAACATAAGCATAGTCAAACACAGACACACACACTCAAACGCACACATACACACTCACACACAAGCACACAAATACAAACACATATAACTGAAATGATTTAAAAAATCACCCTCGCCTACTTCTCCTTATTTTATTACCGTCACTAAATTTTGTCTTTCCATAAAAGTAAATTGCTATCGTAAATATTTGATTATTTGTGCACCTGATAAGTTGCCTAAAAACTTATCTTCCCTGTTTACATGTACTTAGAAACAAATAGCGCAGAATACATACAGTAAATTGTAAAATTTTGAAGGTCGAAAACTTTGATAATGTCAAATAAGTTTAAAAATATTGTTTTGTACCATAGCCTCTTTTTGTTTGTTTTTACTTAGCTTATATTGTCGCAAACCCCTACATTAACATTTCAACAATTTCACAGTCATAAAAATGTTTGAGATGTTGAAATTGTTTTAAAGTTAACCGTGGACGATTTATAATTGCTTATATTTAAAACACATTTGTACGAGGAGCCCTTAAGATTTTAATTTAATAGCAGTCTTGATATATAGCTCGAGCATTACGCTATTAAGAACCTAGACACTAGCCTATGTCAGCTTTTGGCATTAAACAGGATTCTATGTTAACAGCTATTTCAATGTCACTGTCTTCTTACAAACCCCCAAGCTTTACCATCATAAAAGACGCATTCAAACTAGACTAATTAAAAAATCCGTCTGATTCAGGAAGTGTAGGCCTAAATTTTGACCAGGAAGTTAAAGGTTTTAAATCTTAAGATTACTCAAGTCACTACTCGAGTTAACAGCTTGAGTTTGAATCAGCTCAGGGGTTCTATTTTAAGCTTAAATCACGCACGTGACACACAAGGGGAGGGTGTCCCGCCCCGTTAGTGCCCCCCCCCCCCCCCACAGTTGTCTGAAAGAAACTCTGCAGGGGATGGGAAGGGGGAGTTGCAATTAAACTTTAACCCACTAGTAAGCTACTACGAGACAAGCTAAGAGTTTAAAGAAATATTTTGTTGATTACCGCCCTTTGCTAACTTTCCGAAAAAGCTTTTTTTTATTTATCGGGAAGTTCTGCTCTCGATGACGTATTTGTGTATTTGTTGGAGCTGAGGCATAAAGTGGATCAGCCACTCTTCAACTGCCGACGAGGCTGTGGTGTTTTCTGTGACTGGACTTAAATACGGCATAACTATACGGTGCGTTTTTTTACAAGCTTTTTTAAAAACTTGCTTTTGATTCGTTTCGAACTTATCACGCGGCTCGAGACCCGACGACAATGCAATCTGACATCAATTTTGACTTAATTAGTTTTTTATGAATTAATTAAAATTTTCTGAAATTAATTGGATGCCCGAAAATTATTACGCACTATTATACGCACAATATCATGTTCATTTGGCGTGCAATAGTTTTTTAGTCATGAAACTCTATTGTATTAAAAATTTTAAAGTACTAAAAACGCATTAAAACGTTTTAATAACAAGGTTTTATGCTATACTACACTAAAAAGGAGAAAATACATGATTTTCTTTTAGTATATTATAATACATTACTATTAAATAACTTTAAAGAAAAGCGCGGGTCTGATCCTAAATAAGAGTAAATGTATCCAATAGATAATACAGTGACCCACGCTTTTCTTTACATTAATTATAATAGTAGTGTATTATTATATATTTAAAGAAAATAATTTATTTTCTTCGTTTAAGTGCCTTATTTCATAAAAGCTTGTTATTAAAACGTTTGTATACAGTTAAAAAATATATTTTACTAGATGTTGCCGCTAGGAAAAAAAAATGGCGTTTTAGTCAATCTTCACTATTAAGGGGATATGCTCATTACAATATCATCAAAATGCAGATTTTTCGTCATAATGGGTTTCTTGCACTTTTGGATACTTTGTTCATTTTTGTATTAAGAAAAAATAACTCTAATAAGAAAAAAAATGTATGTGTCAAAATACCATTTTTATGACCACATTAAAAATAATAATTTTCCCAATCTTACAAGTTCTCTACGAAAAGTGTTTTATCCGTCATCATATTGTATTTGGCATCACTGGAAAGCTCGATTTCTCAAGTATGCGTTAATCGTATTTTCCATCATCCCGGAAACACCCAAAGCTTACAATCGGCTTTATAAATTACGTGACCTAACACTAAAAGCCTACTATTTTATTTTTAATTAAAAAATGCCCACCATATTTTCAGTAATTGTTCTTCATGCAAAAATAAACTTTTGTCAAGAGGAAATTGTGATGGCTTTCATAGAAAAAAAGTTTATGTTAAATAACATGCACATTTTGAAACTTTAGCGTACTAAAAAGTATACGATTTTTTTCAGACCGTGTAGAATACCAACTTGCAGTCATTTCAAAAAGTTGTCGTGATAAAAGTTTATATATATATATATATATATATATATATATATATATATATATATATATATATATATATATATATATATATTCTGAAATATAGGCCTTTAAATTTGATTGCTATGGGTGCATAAATAAAATAAAACCTTAGCGTTTTTACAATTACCGAAAAATTCAAAATGGCGGTTGTTTTTCGAGTTTCCATGACAACCAAAATTGTTTTCAACCCTTTTTTTCGGTTTATTACTTACTTTCAGGTGCCAAACATGGTAAACTAATTCAAAAAGCTTTAGATTTTAAATTGTAAAAAATAGAAATAAGCTGAGCATATTCCCTGAAACTGAAAAGGACAATAACATAGCATTATTAAAACTATCATCATAGCTCCTGAGTTCGAAGAACGACCCTCGGGGATAAAAAAACAAACAAACTGTGTTATCTTCGGAAAAAATATTAGGAAGGCCTTTAGAAGTGACCAGTCCGAATTCCCTAAATAAACATATTTAATATGGTGAATAACTATGACTATTTGCACATTTTTAAAAGGGTAATTTGGCCTAAGTTTTCCATAGTCCTGGGTAAATAAATCAGCCATATAGAAAAACTATCGGTAAGTCTCTACTCGAACAGAGCGGGCGAAAAAGTGGCGACGATTGAAATTCTCCTTATATGAGCTGTATATCGAAAAATTTCTTCCAGACGACCCCCCACCCCCAACTCCTGATATCTTGTGAGCTTTCAGGCCAATATCCGTGGATGCCTGAAAAAACGTGTCATATCTGGGAAAATCGGTACAGCGGTGAACGCCAAACATGACAGCCAACCACCGATTAATTAATCATTCGAATTCTCGAATATTTTTTGAAAACCTAAGCAAAGAATAGTTTAGTATAAAGCTGAATTGCTTTGTTTTTAAAACGTCAGAGATTGTTTTATAATTGGTAGCAGCGAAGAAAATAAAAGTAAAACAAAGTGGCTTAATTAATTTAAATGAACAATTAACCTACTTAGTATTTGTTTATTGCAGAAAGTCCATATTAAATTATGCATTTAATTTTTTCTTTAAGTTTCTCAAAATCCTATTTTGTTTATTTACACTTACGAATAAAGCGATGGGTGCACACACCTTTTCATATTTTTAAATTTGTTTTGTTTCAACAGACAGAGAAAGCGCTTAACCCTTCATTTCATGTTGTATCAATTTTGATACAAGTGAAATAACCCCCATTGAATCTACACAAATGTTAAAATCTGAGTTCTTAATATGACAAAGCTTCGCATAAATTTTAAATTCCTAGTTCAATCAAACTAGTTTTAATAGAACTAAATAATTAAATAGCATTAAATTATTACAATTTCTTCGGTGTTTTCTGTAAAAAAAAAATCCAAAAACTTTTAAAGATATTTTTTAATTTTATTTATAGGTTATCGTCTTTCAAGCTATATACCTGCATTTTCATATTTTTGAAACATTTAAAATATGGATAATTCAACGAAGTAAGTTTTGATAGAACTAGATAACTGAAGGTTTCATGCTTTTCTCCTATAATGTGTAAGCAATGGCGACCTCTTGACTTGTATTAATGAACGCATGTGTGATGTCATGAAATAGGCTAATGATATACTGATCTTGTTGTCATTTAATTTGTTTAGATAAGAGCGTGTGCTTGTTTACATGAAGTGGTAAAAATATTTACCTGCTCCAAATTTGCCCCAGCAGCTGCACAATAAAATTACCAGTTTCACAAACCTAATCTCTAGCTCCACTCTCTGAGCTCTAACCTCTAGCTACCTGTACGGTTGATTGAAAAACCTTGTGACGGACACACTACCTAGCGGTTTATATTATAGTTAAACAACATAGTTAAATACAATGTAATCAGTCTTCTCATTTTCGTTAACCTGTTATATATATATATATATATATATATATATATATATATATATATATATATATATATATATATATATATATATATATGTATATATTAAAGGTTTAATTAGCCTTGCAATTGTTTTTATATTAAAAACATTTCTTTTTTACTGTTGATGTAAAATGAAAAGTAAAATAAAATACCATTCCACGTGCCACGATGTACTAGTTGTTGTTTACAATTCAATACAGGAATGGAGGACAAGTCACTAGAGAAGCTCAATCCGACTGCAAGTGGGACATTAATGTATCCATTATTTCTAATCGGTAATTGAGCATCGTTTAGTTTACAGTTTTATTATTCATATTTTATTAATATCTGATTGTAAGCCTTAAAATTTACTTGTATATGATATATGTGTATGTTTGCTATATTTTGTATTTATATGTGACATAAAAACTATATATATATATATATATATATATATATATATATATATATATATATATATATATATATATATATATATATATATATATATATATATATATATATATAAAAGGAAGAAAGGAACAGGGAAAATTTAGCTCACGATCTACTACATCTGACATGCCGACTTCTTTTGCAATGACTTTCAGAACGTAAATTGCATTATATTTGTTTACTAGCGTTCCCGTTCCGCACGTTGCCACGGGGATAGAAGAAAGTTCGAGGATAGCCCGGGGCAAATCCCACCATACATGGGCGTCAGTGGACGCATCTGATTTAGTTTATGGAAGACTATAATACTACTTCTTATCCATATTCTATCACACTCTTTAAAACGAACGTATGCGCCATAGAGCTATCGGGATAGCCTGAGGCGCCAAGTTGCACCTTGTTGGGCGCCGGAAAACGCGCTTGATTCAATTCAGTGAACGACTAAACGCCCAATCCTATTTATAGTCTATTGCACTGTTTAAAACAAGCGTAGGTGCTATAGCTCTCATAGGATAAGCCGGGGCGACAAATTACTTCCTACCGGTGCGAAATTGAATTTTTTCCCCCATAAATTTCCCCAGGAGTTTCATGGATCAATTGAAAGGTGTAGCAATACATAAAAGACAAATACAATCCGACGAAATATATTAGGAGGGTTTCATCAATGCTTTACCAATCCTAATTTTAGAGACCTTACCTTGTTTTTCTAAAACTGAGGTTTTAAAAAAAATGTAAACAATGCCTGCACTTGGATCATATTTGTCAGGTTTACCTACACTACGCCCAAAAAAGCCCGGGACGCCGCATCGCACCCTGCCTGGGCGCCGACGAACGTGCCTGATTATGTTTAGTGAACGACTCTGAAACCCAATCTTATGCATAGTCTTTCGTAATGTTTAAAACGGACAAAGACGTCATATCGCTCATGGATACCTCGAGCCGTCAAATTGCACCCTGCCGGGGCGCCGGCGAACTCACTTGATTCAATTTATCAAATGACTAACGCCCTAACTTATCCATAGCCTATCGTGCAGTTTAAAACGAACATAGGCGCCGTGGTGCTCACGGGTAAGCCCGGGGCGCTGAATTGCCCCTGCCAGGCAATTATTGTTGCCCATCGTGTCTTTAGTGTATAGCCTTTTTTTAAACGAACGTAGGCGTTATAGTGCTTACAGGGGAGCCCGCGGCGCTTCGCGTCTCGCAATGGCCGGAGCGCTGGCGGCTGCGCCTGTTGAAGTTTTAACGCTGAATATAGTAGTAATCCTTACCCGCTATGCAGGACGCCCGATTAACGGAAACCAAGTGCTTAGATAGCTGCTCTGAAATCCTGGCCGCCAAACCGTGTATTGGCAAAAGTCGCACCCTATCGGGCACCGCCCATAAGAAATATTAATTTTTTTCCCCACAGAAACCTTCTCAAGACTATGCTCTTCAAGTATCCAAAGTTTCATGGCACTCGGATAAATTGTGTAGTAATGCATAAAAGACACACAGACACACACACACACACAGATACACATATATTGCTTTATATATATATATATATATATATATATATATATATATATATATATATATATATATATATATAATATATATATATATATATATATATATATATATATATATATATATATATATATATATATATATATATATATATATTTATATATATATATATATATATATATATATATATATATATAGAGAGAGAGAGAGAGAGAGAGAGAGAGATAGATTTGAGAATTAGACAAAAATACAAAAATAATTTTTTAAATATTCTGAGAAATCTAATTCTAATATTATATTATGTATTATTATTAGCTGCTTAGGGACTTAGATAAAATACGAAAGGCGAATTTGAATTACGCGACCACAAATTTTTGCATTTACATCTTTTGATTTTTCTTCAAGCGATGAATGTTTTCAGTCAAAAGTGATATTTGTTTAATCAGAATGTTCTGAATAAAAACAAACCATAAATTACGATTACAAATATTAATATTAGAAAAAGTATATACTCTAGTTTTTTTTGTAGCATGTCCTCCCTCACCCGCCCCTAATGTGTTTTTGTAGTTTAACTTAAGTTTGTTTGGAATGTTTTTATTTGAGAAAGTCATTTCGCTACATGCTGATGTCTAGTCACACATCACTCTCAGTCACATCTTCAGATGAAAACTGCTTTTATTCATTGGGACTTTGTCTTCTCCATTCACATGCTAAAACCGTTGGACTTCCATGATGTCATGATGTGTGTGATAGGGAACGAGAATATGTGTGTTGTGAAAGGATTTTGTATAAATAAAAGATTGTGTTTGTGTGACGCCGTACGCAAGATGTGACGTTTCAGTGTAGGATCGTTGTTGCTGGCGAAAAAGGTTAGGTAGTCTTGCGTCCTTGTTGTGTTAGGGCTAGGTCGTGAATGTAGACCTAGTATTGGTTTTTAAAGACGTCGCCCGTATCTATATAGTGAAATAAATGATGTAATAAACCAATGTGATCCTGTCAAGTAATTTGTCTACATTAATGTCGTAGTATCATAACTCGACAATAAACCCAGGAAAGGTTAGGGTGAAACATGGTTGTGCAAACAATCTCACTGAATAACTACGGGATACATTGTCTGCAGGTATAACACATGTCATTTGGCCTATTTCTAGCACATGCCAAGTTCACACTTGTGGTGGTCAGAGCTGGGTCGATAGTCCTTGTATACTGTCATATAAGATGTACTGAAAAGATGTTAATGAAATTACTGTAAGCAATTCTCAATCTTGTTTTAGGTCTGGGGATATCAAAGAAAATGAAGAAAAGATATAAATTGCTGTTTTCGATTTCCTCACCCCCTCAGGACCCGGGGCGAGGAAGAAGTTTGAAGAAAAATGGTTGAACACAGTTCGACTTTGATGTTTCTGGTTCTGTTCATCGTTGTCGTTTTTTGGCATGCCAGATACGAAACCTTAGACGGGTTTCGTGGCAGATGTCCGACAACACGCCAGATTTATGGGCGACTGGAGATGAAAAACAGAGCAGTTGACAGAGCTGAGATCTGTTCCGAGAGAGAGAAAGTAGGAAACAAGTCTTACGCTTCAAAAGGTTCGACGTTGAGATCGTATTTGGCTCATAAACCACCCCTACTGAAGCAACGGTTAGTTTGTTTGGGTAAAGGCTTTTTTTCAATTGAAAAAAACGCAAGAGGCACTTTCAGCTGTTTAAGTCATTTAATTCTTTTACAATTAGCCTTTTTATCACTCTTTACAACGTCATTGTTAAACCTATTTCAAGTTTTTCTAAAACAAAATAAAAGTAAACAATTAATAAATTACGTAGCCAATGCATTAAACAATGATATACCTTTAAGCGTCATGTTTAAAAAGCATCCAAAACAAAAAACGGATCCATGTTTTTGGATTTTTAAGCTTAGACATTCTGCGCAGAAAGTTTGCATTAGAGTGATGTATAACCTTGCTGTAGACAACAAGCGCCTGGTGTCTTTTCGCTATATCGACAACCAGCTCGTCCCCAACAACATTTCCGTCTTGCGTCTCGCCCAAGCCGGGTTTTCCTACAGCGGTACCGGAAATCTAGTGACCTGCCAAGGTTGTTCAAAGGCTGTTGACATCCAGAAATTTTCCGAGGGTGTCGGAATGAAAGAGCCTTCCGAGTCACAGTTTCATGAAATAAATTGTGATTATGTCCAAAAAGAAAACATCAAATTCATCGAGACTATAATACAGTTTCCGTCAAATCCGAAACTGCAAATCTCAGACGATGAGACAAAACAATGCCATAATGTACTGATACAAAGTGAAAAGACGGATGTTAAACTCATAGATAGCATCGATCCTGTTATTGCTAACACGGCGCCAACACACGTCGAAGAGCGGTTGCCGCCCTCTCCAGTGGCACAGAGAAGCTACTCGCCCGAAGGAAGTTCACGCCGTAAGCCAGTTCAACTTTTTACATTATCTAGCCTGTACCTTGTTTAAGACGTAGCCTTGTTTTTAAAATGATAACGAAAGTAACTAATATCCTATCCTTTTGATTTTAGCAAGTGACCAGCAAACGACAAACTCAGGAGCTTGTCTAAGTAAGGCTTTATTAAGTTTAAAATATTTGTAGCATATGCAAATGTGTAGGTATTTTTAGCATAGTTTTAATTACAAATATTTGTTGCATATAATTTTACTTTTGATTATTTTTCAGTTGAGTTAAACAATTTTATATCTGAATCGATTCAAATGAAAACTCCCGACTTAATTCGACAGCAACCGATATCAAGAATAGAATGTGTAAAAAATCCAGGTCACTTTTGCTACATCCCAATAGAGAATCTAACACTGGAACATATTCCATCCCAGGCCAGGCACACGCTAGTCCTTGAGTTTCTTCAACTTTTCGCTACACTCGTGGTTCGCGTCGTAGTCAGTGTAGGCAGAGAAGAGGTCAAGGTCGCTACAGGGAGTGTCTCTCTCACAGACCACGCAGAGATCAGCGTCTGTCCCGCGGGTCAGCAAGAAAAATGGGGTACGGTTAGAAGATTAATCAGGAAACAAAAAGAAAGAATTTACATCGAAACCTCGAAAGACGTTGCAAGTTTGATCACAGAAGACGCCGAAGTTTCCGTCGAGTTTTTCTACAACCTGCCCAGCAGAAAAGGCATCAAGGTCATCAAGATGAGGTCAGTCCAGGACTCGACGGATGGCACAAGCCTGTTGGTGTGTGAGAGCACGGATCATCAGTTCGTCAAGCAAATCAACCGGAGCAGGCAGCAGGTACAAGAACTGGCTGAAAGGTTGCCTCAGAGAGCCAAGGAATGCCTGAACAAGAAGGTCTTCCTCATCCACCACCCCCACGGGAAAGAAAAGGTTCTGTCGTGTGGGGACTCTGTGATCGTCAAATACAAAACTGTGACGTCAGTGATCAACGGACGAGCTGTCACCAAGTTGGCCAAGATAAGTTCCTACCCTCAAAGTAAGATTTTAGCTGTTGTACATCGTTTCGGCGCTCATGATCACAAACCAAAATAAAGGCAATTACAAATGACGTTTCTACCCAAAATTCTTCGTCATACACAGCCATGAGACAAACAGTGACACAATTTTGGACTTGACCGTGAAAACATATCTAAAGGCCACGATATAAAAAAAAAGGAAACGCGTGATCAAAGATGCGTGGACAACACATAGGGGTTGGAATTGAGGGCGCTGTGTGTGTGTGTGTGGGGGGGGGAATAGGGGGTAGGTGTTAAAGGGATGATACCCGTTCGTTTAAGCCAAATGTAGCTCGAGTTTCAAGTTTTAGTATGAAATGCGTTTCTGTGTTCATGTGTTTTTTTTAAAATGATGGCAATAACGGACAGCGGTCAGATAAAAGTCGGTTTTGGTATATTGTTTAATCTCCTTAAAAATAGCCACAGGAATATTCTTATTTTTATTTAAACTAGCCGTCCCGGCCAGGCCCTGCACTGGCCAATGGGAAAAACCTATCTTTAAAAGACCGCGACTTTGTTTATTAAGCAGCATTACTTTTCCAATTAAATCTCTATATGCAAATATGGACATTTGAGATAATCACCCATAACCCTAATTTTAACTCTAAATTTAACCCTAACAACAAGGAACCACAAACAACCAAAACAACTACACAACACAAACACAAACAAAATTGCAAACACAAACACAATCATCAACACCAACACAAACACAAAGTCAAACGCACACAGAAACGGAAAAGCAAACATAAACACAAACGCAAACACAAACACAGAAATAAATACAAAAATAAACATAAATCCTAACCCCCATAACTTAAAAAATAAACAGAAACAAAAACATAAACCAGCCCTCACCACAACATCAACTACTCTTAAATTTAGAAGTGAGGTCTTAAAGTAGCGATAAAAAAATAATTAGTAAACAAAGCAGTTGAACGCAGCGCAAAATTTTTAAATTATCAGACCTAAAAATGTCGGAATGAGGTCGCAAATATTTGAAAAATTGAAAGCAATTTGATATTTAACTTAAAGTGCGAAAAAACACTTCCAGTGTGATAATGCACCGGTGTCGAAAAAAATGAACCCGATCCGTTCAGGCGTTTGATTTCCAAACAGGACGCGAAGACATATATATATATATATATATATATATATATATATATATATATATATATATGTATATATATATATGTATATATATATATATATATATATATATATATATATATATATATATATATATATATATATATATATATATATATATATATCAGAGGTAAGGACGACCCTTATTGTATGTAGCGCTTACTAGGATAAACATGATTTGAATTTAAAAAATACGACCGTATTTAGCTTAAACACTTAAACATAAAAAATACCTTATTATCATTGCTTTACGCTCAACCAGTTGAAGTTTTCAATCGTAGATATTTTAATAAAATATATGTTTTTTAAGTTTTGAAAAAATAAACACGTATTATAATGGATAAAGAAAATAATTCAAATAAATTGTTCACACAGTTAACCAAACTTCTCTGTTCCAGCCCCACCAGAAGAAGGCAGCATCTTCAAGGCTCTACTGTACGCTGCTGACACCTGTCCTGGCACTTCCGGCGCACCTGTGCTGACCTTCAACTCGAGTTCACTGAACCATGAAAGCGCTTACTCCCTAGAAGTCTGGTGCCACAAAGGCGTGGACATACATCACAGTCTGAGCGGTTCCGAGCTCAAAAGTACGCCATCCTTGTGTTGTAGCATGATACATTTGTAGCTATCAGAAAAAAAACAACGGTTGCACATGTTCATATTTTTCTTTGAACTTTACATGAAAAAAATTACAAATATTATTTTGATAATTTAAAGTTTTAATTCCAGCTTTGGCATCCATAAAATATCAACAAAAACAAAAACAAAATGTATGTTTTGGTGCAAGTATCCATGTATCCATATTTCTAGGAGGTTGGAGGACACGTTTGGGTACAAACATGACATGGTGTGCCAGGAAAACAAACTCTTCCATTGATATTTTTGTTCATTTTTGATGCACAAAAAATAAACGTCAACCTAAATTACAAAATAAATAAATAAATATATATAAAAACTGATTAAAAAGAAAAGAAAAAAAAACAACAACAAAAAAAAAAAAAAGAAAAAAAAATGCTTAACCATAAAAAAAAAGAAAAGAAAATTAACCAGAAAAAAAAACAAAAAAAAAAAAAAAACAAAAAAAAAAAAAACAACAAAAAACAACAAAGTCTGATGGTTTTCTGTAGAGTTAAATATTGCTTATATGACGTGTTTTCAAATAAAATATCTCATGTTTTGCTATGCATATTTATTTTTCTAAAACCTTTTGCATTTTCTTGTATTATTTGTTTTTATTGATACTATTTTTTAAAAACATAAAATTTCAACTATTGCTAAAATGAGACGTAAACTAATAAGATGAATACAGAATTTAGTCTAAATATTTTTTTAAATAAAATTTTTGGGCATTTTTTGGATCTAACTTTGAATTAAGATAGATATTTGAAAGTAGATTTACAGAATAAGTAATTTTTATATTTAAAAAAAAAACAACACGTTTTATGTAATACGTTAAGAAAGCTATATTGTAGCGTTGGCTACATACAAAAGTATATATATATATATATATATATATATATATATATATATATATATATATATATATATATATATATATGCATGTATCTATAACTCTATTTGCACAGAGGTTACCGAGTCAGAGATGAGATCGTCCACACAAACCAACACCAGACCACAGAGTCCACCCACACAGTATGACGCAGTGGGTGAAGATGTAACAAGCCTGGGTAACCAGGAGGTCAAGTGTCCGGTCTTTAAGGTCCAGAGCCCGCCATCCTACCCGGTCTACACTGTGTACCACGTCAGACTGGCCAGCTATGAGGGCAAGTGGGAGCACTACCACATTCACAAGCCTGAGGACTTGGCCCTAGCTGGATTTTTCTACGCTGGTAGAACTTGTTGTGCTCTGTTGACAGTTCTGGTTTTGTCTTGTATCTTAAAGCATTTGTGTTTTTGGATTCGGTTAGATAACAATAGTTTATATATATATATATATATATATATATATATATATATATATATATATATATATATATATATATATATATACATGCCCTATATCAGATACAATATCATAGATGACTCTATATTAAGATTCCCATATTATTCATCTATCAACAGGGTATTCGGACTGTGTCCGTTGCTTCCAGTGTGGATTGGGTCTTAGAAGCTGGAAAACTGGAGACATAATTGACGTGGAACATCGAAAACACCGACCTGATTGTCCTTTCTTGAAGACCAGATCAGCAGCAATGCCACTCGCGAACATGGAGTTTAAAGAAAATGTTGACTTGAAACCGCAAGGTAAATAATCAAAATAAAATTATAGTACACATATATCACAATGGTATAGAAAGGGGTATATATATATATGAGTATCATTCTTCAAACAATTGTTTCTTAGTAGATGTTCTTGAATCGAAAGAAAAGGAAACAATGGAAGCCCCCATATCGCAGATATTAACACAACCTACGACATTACCTGTACAAAAACCTCAGGCGCAGGTGTACACTGCTTTAGGAAGTCTGCCAGCACCAGGCAAGTCTAAGTTTCTTTTTTAACATGTATCTTCGGGTCTACGACAAATTCCCGAAAGACTTTTACCCGAATGCCATAAATGCCCGAATGGACACTTGCCTGAATGCGACAAATGCCCGAATGGACACTTGCACAAATGGGACAAATGCCCGAATGGACACTTACCCTCATGGGACAAATGGCCGAATGTAATAAAAAGAAAATTGAGATGCATTGCGTTGTTTATTCTTATAATTCACGATGATTATTTAAAACAAATCTTTCGATGTTTTCGCAAAGATATTCATGTATGTATAAAATGCATAATCAAAACTCCAATGTATTTCTCTTGAAGGTGCTCTCACAAATGAAAAAATGCTAAACGTGAAACCCACTCTCAAAGATGCGTCAACACACGAGAAAAGCAAAAACACAACACTGAATATATTGGAAAACGAGAACCAGAAGCTGCGAGAGAAACTGATATGTAAAGTGTGTAATGTCGCCCCCATCAAAGACCTGTTCCTCCCGTGTGGTGAGCTGTACGCGTGCAGTGAGTGCTCCAAGCTGCTCACACACTGCCCGTCATGTAAGAAGCCAATACTCGCCACGGTCAACACCTTCTTAACCTGACCAGGTAACTTACAACATTTTAACTGTAACTGTCAAATATTCCCCTTTAAACCTGAACAGGTAACTTACTACATTTTAGCTGTAACTGTCAAATATTCCCCTTTAAACCTGACCAGGTAACTTACAACATTTTAACTGTAACTGTCAAATATTCCCCTTTAAACCTGACCAGGTAACTTACAACATTTTAACTGTAACTGTCAAATATTCCCCTTTAAACCTGACCAGGTAACTTACAACATTTTAACTGTAACTGTCAAATATTCCCCTTTAAACCTGACCAGGTAACTTACAACATTTTAACTGTAACTGTCAAATATTCCCCTTTAAACCTGACCAGGTAACTTACAACATTTTAACTGTAACTGTCAAATATTCCCCTTTAAACCTGATCAGGTAACTTACAACATTTTAACTGTAACTGTCAAATATTCCCCTTTAAACCTGACCAGGTAACTTACAACATTTTAACTGTAACTGTCAAATATTCCCCTTTAAACCTGACCAGGTAACTTACAACATTTTAACTGTAACTGTCAAATATTCCCCTTTAAACCTGACCAGGTAACTTACTACATTTTAACTGTAACTGTCAAATATTCCCCTTTAAACCTGACCAGGTAACTTACTACATTTTAACTGTAACTGTCAAATATTCCCCTTTAAACCTGAACAGGTGACTTACTACATTTTAACTGTAACTGTCAAATATTCCCCTTTAAACCTGACCAGGTAACTTACACCATTTTGACTTGAAATGTCAAATATCAGCGTAGTAATGCTCTACTTCCTCCTCTTAGATAACTAAATTTTTACATTTGTTTCTTAGATGGAAATGTTTGTTGAACCAAAACTTCTAGGAAAGATAACTCGCAAGCGACAAAGCATGTTTCAAATGAGTATCTTTACCTGACCAAGGATTAGTTGGAGCCCGGATGTAGAAACACAGATGTATGTCAAGTGGATAATCGATTATTGGCATTATGTTAAACATCAAATATCAAAGATTCTCGATTCTTGGCATCAAGTAGAAACTGAACAATGTAAATGGATATCTTGATAAAATAAATCGGCTGATGGGGGACTACAATGGGATAACGCAGTGACAGCTGGATGGAAATATTCCCGTCTTGTTAAATGAGGATAATTTTATTTGAGCAGAGTAATGCAACAAATTAAGGTATCGACGATAAATAACGTTACGTGTTTTAGCCGATTTATTTTATCTAGGTCCATTTTAACACACAAAATAACTGTAGGCAGTTTAAAAATGCAAGTGTGACGGAGCATTTTTATTACCCCACATCCCTCAACCCCATCAATACACATTGTGACTAAAGCCCGACTCCCATCCCAACTTTAAGGTTAGGGAGGATGATAGTTTATGGGTAACACCTTGCTTAAAAATAAAAAACAAAGCAAAGAAAACAACAACAAAAAAGCTACAGATTTACAACTGAGCACTACTAGATGCAGACAGCCAGTTTGTTTTGATTGGCTTACATACAAACTGTTTCACACAGCTGGTCTCTGGTTCACTGGTTTGTATCTTCACGGTGTCAGAACGTTATGCCCCACACAAGGGCAGCTCTGACGGGCACAACACAAGGTTTATAAATCAATGTATCTTGTGGTGTAAAAACTGGAAGTCCAAAGCTCAGAAATGATCTTTGGCTTTCAGTTTTTACACCATAGCAAACTTGAATAGATAAAAGCAGAGGGTAAATTGCCAGATTATCACATCTAAAAAATATAAAATAAAACGGATAAAAGTATTGATTTGTCTATCACTTTCTATCGTGACGTCAAGGTTTAGGTCAACACTTAGCAATCACAAATTTTAGGCGTCTTGTACATTTATTGGTGGCCTGTATAATTTGTGTACCAGCTCACCTGCACACAGAGGGGGTAAATACAAAGCGAGAGTACAGCAGAAATAAAATCATATTGAGAACAGCCAGGCTGGGGGAAAGGGGGGGGGGGGGGAGAAATATCACATCAGGTGACACCATCGAAAGGGATGACACCGAAACGAAATATAGCTAATTTGGGTAAGACAATCCTTTTCCAGTTAGTTTAATAGTTTTATTAACGGTGTATATATATTAGGTAATGGGTGACACCGGCGTGATAGAGTAAC